CTTAATTGTTAATTGTAACAAATGATTGTTAACTTAATTGTAAACCCACCCACCCCCCAAAATGTGAATTTGTAGCTCCTTGTTGAGTTGCCCCATGAGTGAGATGTAATTGGAGAGTTGAATAAATTGCTAGGTTGTGGAACGGATTGGGACTCTGGCCTCACTTTCTTTGCAAGGGGGAGTTAAAAAAAACTGGGGTAGCCACCTGCCACCCTTAGCTGCCAAATACCCCCCTCCCCCAGGTGCCCTGCTCAGTGGCCAATTTGGATTCAGTCAACGGCCAGAGATTCTGTGACTTACAGGAGGGGCCTGTCACCATTCATAGAAGGTAACAGAATAACGGACTTAGAGGGGACCTTGGAGGTCTTCTAGTCCAACCCCCTGCTCAGCCATGAAACCCTCACACTTTCTGGGCAATTGGCTCTCCAGTCTCTTCTTCGAAAGAGTCCAGTGATGGAGCAGCCACAACTTCTGGTGGCAAGGGGTTCCACTGGCTAATTGCTTTCACTGTTAGGAAAATGGTTCGTACTTACGACGGTCAAAGAGTCCCGGGGTCACGTGATCCCCTTTGGCGACCTGACAAGCAAAGTCAAGGCGGATGCCCAGATTCGCTTAACAACCTTGTCACTAACCTGAACTGCAGGGATTCACTTAACTCAAGTGTTTCTCAACCTTGGCAACTTGAAGACGTCTGGACTTCANCTCCCTCCCTCCCTCTGGGGTTCTTGAGATACACTGGATTTCAGGACCTTATCATTCCCAGCCAGGGCTGGAGCAGGGGAAGCATTAAAAAAATGTTACCCTTGATGCAGGAGGGTCTAAATGCCCCCTCCTCTTACAGGCAGTCCTTGACTTACAACAGTTCATTTAGTGACCATTCGGAGTTACAATGGTGTGGAAAAAAGTGTCTTACAACCCTTTTTTCACGCCCACGACCTTGCAGCTTCCCCTTAGTCACACGATGCAAATTTAGACTCTCGGCGCCCGACTCGCATTTATGACGGGGTTCATGTGATCCCGGGGTCAAGGGGTTCCCCTTTTGCGACCTCCGGACACGCAGAATCAACGGGGAAGTCAGATCTGCATTGCTAGCTTCATAGCCGCAGGGATTCGCTTAACGACTGTGGCAAGCAAGGTCGCAGGATGGGGCCAAACTCACTTGTCTTGCTTGTCGATGAAAAGTTTGGGCTCAGTTCAGCGGTGGCCGTAAGTCGGGGACTGCCTGTAAAAGAAGCCCAAGTCCTGAGCTTACCAGGAACCGTCCCCTGACATCGCAGGAAGATAAAGGGGGAGAAAGGCGTTTGGGCTTGCAAGATTCTGTTGCCTAAAACGGTTGTTTTTGGCCTGCGTGAGTTTTGTTTTCTGGTCTGGTTGACCTCGAAGGACGGAGAGACGGCGGTCGCTCTGTGAAGCCTTTTTTGGGGGGCTGGGAAAAAGTCAACCAGCCAGAATCTCTTGGCGCAGATCGGCTGTTCATTTCAAGTTTGAAGCTGAGTATTTGTGGAGATTCTCAGCCATCCAGGTCAGGGTTGTCCCGAAGGTGCTTTTTTAGGAGTTTCTGGGGTTTTTCTTTTCTTTGAAGATGTTTGAAGTTTCTCCAGCTTCTGACGGGATGGTGGGGAAAGGTATGAATCCTTCTTTCCCCCACCATCCAGTCAGAGCTGAAGAAGCTTCTGGGATGAGCAGCGAAACGCCTTCCAAGAAAATTAACCAGTGGAACAGCTTGCTTACCTCCAGAGATTGTGGGGGCTCCATCCCTGGAGGCTTTTAAGAAGAGACTGGACAATCACTTGTCTGAGATGGAATAGGTTCTCCTGCTTGAGCAGGGGGCTGGACTAGAAGACCTCCAGGGTCCCTTCCAGCCTCATTCCATTCCATCCCATTCCATATTCCAATATTCTATTCTATTCTATTCCATTCCATATTCTATTTCATTCTATAACATTCCACATTCCAATATTCTATTCTATTCCATTCCACATTCCAATATTATATTATATTCCATTCTATTCCATTCCATATTCCAATATTCTATTCTATTCTATTCCACATTCCAATATTATATTATATTCCATTCCATTCCATTCCATATTCCAATATTCTATTCTATTCCATTCCATATTCTATTTCATTCTATAACATTCCACATTCCAATATTCTATTCTATTCCATTCCACATTCCAATATTATATTCTATTTCATTCTATAACATTCCACATTCCAATATTCTATTCTATTCCATTCTATTCTATTCCAATTTTCTATTCTATTCCATTCCACATTCCAATATTATATTCCATTCGTTTCAAGTTTCAAGTTTAATTTTATTTATAGGCCGCCCAATCCGGGAGGACTCCGGGCGGCTTACAAAGAGGGGAAAGAAAACAAACCAAAATAAAATAAAAATAAAATAGCCAAGTTAAAAAACAGCACAGATACATTCATTTCAGTCGGGGCTGGACCTCAACAATGAGGTCAACAGCCCCAGGCCTGCCGGAATAGCCGGGTCTATCCCATTCTATTCTATTCCACATTCCAATGTTCTATTCCATCCCATCCCCATTCTTCTAAAAACGAGAAAGTCCAGTTGCCTCCCTTAAAAAGCACCTTTGGGGCATTTTAAGCTGAGCTTCGTTTATTTTATTTTTTTGAAATTCTCCTGGTGGGGAAAGGGAGAACCTGCCATGCTGGTCTGTAGATTTGCCCTCCCGAAACCCGTTGGCAATTCTGTTCAGTCGCAATCCTTCCCTTACGGGGAGAATATTTGGGCAAGGAAAAAAAAATTACCTAAAATTCTGGGAGTTTGCAGTCCGCGAGTCATTAAAAGTCTCCCCCACCCACCCACCCCTGGCCTATTTAAATGTTTTGGGCAGCAGCTTCTGAAATGTACCCCTTTCCTCTGCTTGGTTTTTCAGGGTGCTGTGAACCTCCCCCTGGAGAAGGACGTAGAGGACTTCCTCCTGAGGAAGCCCATTGTGCCTGTGGACGCTGCCAAGAGGGTCATTGTGGTTTTCCACTGCGAGTTCTCATCGGAAAGGGGCCCCCGGATGTAAGTCTTCCCTCCCGCCTGCTCATTTTGGGGGATCCGACCGACGCATCGCCCCGGTTGCGCCCACGAGGCTCAAAAGGGGGGGGAACAAGGCGCTGGGAAGAGCAACGGCTGGCCGGGGGCCTCCGCAGGATGTGCTGAGCTGCCCACCGGTGCCATCCATGCTCTGTCGCCCTGCATGGATGAAGCTGAGAAGATGGCATTGCACTCTTTCACCTGCCATCTTGACCTCATGATTATTATCCTTGAGCCCCAAGCTTCCGTTGCTAAGTGAGACAGTGGTTGTGTCAGGGATTCCAAAGAGCACCCAAAAGTAAATCAGAGTCCGAGGCAAAGTATTGCTCAAAGTTCCAGTTTATTAAGACAGCCATGCTGGCACATCGGGGGAAAACCCGAATCTGAAAGCTTCCCGGTTTTCCCCACCCAGTTGAAATTTCAAGATCCTGCCCCCCCCTCCCCAATACCCACAAGCCCGTCCCATGGTCCAAATTCCCACTGCCCACGTTGGCATCTTCCACCCATCCAATTCTGGTCTGGTGCAGGGGAGCATTGACAAAGGATGACCTTGGTTTTCTAGAGAGAATTTTGCTTTGGCTACGTATCATCTAACTCTGTACAATTCCCCCCCCCCTTCCCATTTTCCCACGATAGAAAAGGCATAGCAGAATAATAGAAAGTGTGGCAGGTCAACAACGTTCCAAAAGAAAAGATGGCTGCAGGCCTGACAGGTTGTTAAGTGAGTTTCGGCCCCTTTTTGCGACCGTTCTAGCCTCTGTTCAGTGACTGCCTACAGTTCTCAAGTTAGCAACATGGCGTTTGGCGGAACCTGGTTTCGTTAATTCACTTTGATCAGTGGCCAAGCGTGAGCCGCCCTGGGACACCGGAACCGTCGTAAATACGAACCAGTTGCCAAGCATCCAAAATTGGGGGGTAGTCACAATGGTCGTAAGTGTGAAAAATGGCGCTAAATCACTTTTTCCAGTGCCGTCGTAAACTTTGAATGGTCCCTAAGCAAACTTGTTGTAAGTCGAGGACTACCTATCCAGGTACTCACCCCCCCCGACCCCGATCACATTTGAACCCAAAATGTCTGTTCTTAAGCGAGACAGGTGAATTTCGCTCCGTTTTACGACCTTTCTTGCTGCTGCTGTGAAACGAATCACCATAGTTCTTAAATTAGTGACACGGTCGTTAAATGAATCTGGCTTCCCCCCCTTGACTTTGCTGGTCAGAAGGCTGCAAAGAGGGATCACGTGGCCCCCGGGGACATTGCAGCCGTCGTAAATATGAGTCAGCCGAATTTTGCTCACGTGACCAAAGGGATGCCGCAACGGTCATAAGTGTGAACAGCGGTCATAAGTCCCTTTTTTAGTGCTGCCGTAACTTCAACTGGTCACTAAGTGGAAGTCGAAGATGGCCTGAATTCTGCCGACCTCCCCCAGCTGCTGCAGGGAAACAGGCTGGGTGTGTCTACGTGGGATGTGATGAGGTTGTGTTGTGTGTGTGCACTTTGTGATTATCCCTCCTCCCCAAAGGTGCCGTTTTGTCCGGGAGAAAGATCGTGGTTGCAATGCGTATCCGGCTCTCCACTACCCGGAGCTCTACGTTTTGAAAGGGGGTTATAAGGAATTCTTTCCCCAATATCAGGTGAGCAGGTTTCTTTAAACAAAAAAAAAAAAAANAGCTCCATCGCTGGAGGCTTTCGAGAAGAGACTGGGCAGCCCCCTCTCTGAAATGATAGAGGGTCTCCTGCTTGAGCAAGGGGCTGGACTAGAAGACCTCCAAGGTCCATTCCAGCAGATTCCCAGCAGACCCCCGGGAGGGAGGCTAAAGGGCAGCTGTGAGTTTGGGGCAGGGGGCTCCCAAGAAGGAAGATGGAGGCTATTGGCCTTCTGTGCCTCCGTTCTCTCTCCAGGAGGATCTGCCTAAAAGATCTCCAGATCCTTGGCAGATGGATTTAGTTGAATGACTGAAGAGGACCTTCTTTTTGGGGGTCACCATCTCCATTGTTTTCAGTAGACCTCTGGAGAGGATGCTTGGGGGTCCCCTCGGGGGCAGGGGGTCAGCCTACTTCCTGCCAGGGAAAGTGCCAAGGACCCTCTCAGTCTGGTTGACCTCTTGGCATCCCGTTCTTCTAGGTGCCCCGGCTGCTCCGATCCCGTTCTTGCTGCCCCTTGGAGATCGGCAACATCTTGGACCAAGACCAGCGCGAGCTGATTGGCGACTTCTCCAAGGTATTGGCCGAGAAGAAGGCTTCCCCCCTCCCTGGAGGAAGTCATGGGGCTTCTCTGTTGGCTCGGGGGGAGCCAGGGCAACCGAGGACCACCATTCCTCTCCTCTCTCCTTAGGCTTACGTCCTCCAGACGGTGGAAGGGAAACACCAAGATCTCAAGTACATCTCTCCAGAAATGGTAAGCAAAGACCACCAAGGGCCTTCTCAAGAACATCCGTTTTACAGCATGCAGACGGGATGCTGGGAGTTGACGTCCACCCATCTTAAAGCATGCTGGCTGGAGGATTCTGGGAGTTGAAGTCCACCCATCTTGAAGCATGCAAACTGGGGATTCTGGGAGTTGAAGTCCACCCATCTTAAAGCATGCCGGCTGGAGGATTCTGGGAGTTGAAGTCCACCCATCTTAAAGCATGCAAACTGGGGGTTATGGGAGTTGAAGTCCAGCCATCTTGAAGCATGCAAGCTGGGGATTCTGGGAGTTGAAGTCCACCTATCTTAAAGCATGCTGGCTGGAGGATTCTGGGAGTTGAAGTCCACCCATATTAAAGCATGCAAACTGGGGATTATGGGAGTTGAAGTCCAGCCATCTTAAAGTATGCAAACTGGGGATTCTGGGAGTTGAAGTCCGCCCATCTTAAAGCATGCCGGCTGGGAGATTCTGGGAGTTGAAATCTATCCATCTCCCAGCCAGCCTGCTTTAAGATGGGTGGACTTCAACTCCCAGAATCCCCTGTTGCAAAACAGATCTGAGATGCGTGCTTCCTTTTTTTAACCCTGTCTTTGCCTGCAGATGGCGGCGGTCCTGAATGGCCAGTTCAACAGCCTCATTGAAAACTGTGTGATTGTGGACTGCCGATACCCCTATGAATACGAAGGCGGCCACATCAAGGTTAGTTCTCCGGCTGCGGCTTCTCCACCCAAATGAGCAGGTTGGCATGAATGAATGAGGCAGAAGGGAAGATTGGTAGCCGCTGGGCGGGTTGGCACCTGGTCCACAAGCGGGCACAACCCCTTCCTTCCTTCCTTCCTTCCTTCCTTCCTTCCTTCCTTCCTTCCTTCCTTCTTTTGCAGGCCAGGAATACACAATGCCACCAACTTTCCTTCCTTCCTTCTTCCCTCCCTCCCTTCCTTTTGCAAGCCAGGAATACACCATGTGACCTTCCTTCCTTCCTTCCTTCCTTCCTTCCTTCCTTCCTTCCTTCCTTCCTTCCTTCCTTCCTTNCTTTCAGTTTTGTTTTCTCTAGAGAAACCTGGAAACAAGCAGGACCCACGAAGCGTCTCCTGTACCCCCTTCTCCCATTTTTTTTTCCAGCTCTCCCACCGCTCCCTGCTCCTTACCAAACGCCCGGCTGCTCTGCAGCTGCTCCTGAATGCGATCGTTGCCGCCATCTTCTCCCGGAAAGATACTTTCCCCACGCCTTTCCCACTCCTCCCCTTGATCAGCCAATCGCATGGCGCCTTTTCCTCCCGCCGACCAATCAGAACGCGAGGAGCTGCCTTCTTTGGTTAAAATGAATGACTTGTGTGGCTTTGCTTTCTAAAAACAAATCAACCCTCAATAACCAGGTTTTTGTTAAAAGAAAATAACAAGAATGTATTTATCAGCGTTGACAGCCAACGGAGTCATCTCATTATCTCATTATCCTCAAGCTTGGGGAATCTCATGAGAATTCCCCAAGCTTGACGATATAATCAAGTCTCGTGGGACTCAAGGGAAATGAACAGGGATGGGTCCAACTTTCACCTGGTGGGAGATAAGGTTTCACCGAGCGAGACGTCGCTTTGCTGCCCGTGAAGTCGCCTAGAGGGGTGTCTATTTCTCTGCATGCACATACATACGCCGTCTTTCTCTCCCTCCGCATGTGTATGAATATATATCTCACATACACAATGTGATAAAACGGATGCAAGCTTTCAGGCTATACAGGTTTCTTAGTCCGTATCCTTAGAGGCAGCGTCTATCTCTCTACCTGCCTATCTTTACTTACTTACCTACCCCCCCTCCTCTGTGTGTATGTGTATCTATCTGTCTATCAATTATCTAATCTCTTATGTTATCTATCAATTACCTATGTAATCTCTCTGTGTGTGTACGTGTCTATCAATTATCTTTCTAATCTGTGTGCGTTCTCTATCNGGGTGCAATGTTCTGATATTGTATATACCAGTGTTTCTCAACCTTGGCGACTTTAAGTCCTCCCGGGGATTCTGGGAGTTGAAGTCCACAGGACTTAAAGTCGCCAAGGTTGAGAAACACTGGTATATACAATATCAGAACATTGCACCCAACAATTTGGGCCCTCATGATCTCCGGAGGATGGAAGACTGAGTCAATCTTGAGCTGGTCAGGTTCGAGCTGCTGGCGATCAGCAGAGTTAGCTTGCAATGCTACAGTCCGTCCATCCATCCACCCACTTAACTACCTACCTATCTATCTCAATCATCTCGCGGTGACCAAAGTTGCTTGCAAGGCCCTGTCTGTGTCCTCCTCCTCCCATCCCATGATGTCACAATCCCACCTTCCCTTCACCTGCAGGTGTGCTGGGGATTGTGAATGCTTTGCTGAGGGGCCCCCCAGCAGCCAATCAGCAAGCCTCCTGACTCCCAGGGCTGCTGGAGGTCCCTAGTTAGGGATTACCAAGAAGACCAGTGCAGATGGGAAAAGCAGGGGGAGCAATGAAAATCTCCAAAAAAACCCTTGCTCAAGATTCACCGAGAAGACAGTAAACATAAGTGGACAATAGCATCGGACTTTTAATAGAAATCACAAGTAGCAGGTACAAAAATTGGGGGGGGGGGGCTTGTTTTTTCTTTATGCCTTAGAATAGAATAGAGCTGAAAGGGACCTTGGAGGTCTTCTAGTCCTGCCCACGCAGGAGAGCCCCTTACTATTTTCAGATAAGTGGCCGTCCAGGCTCTTCTTAAAAACCTCCAGTGATGGAGCACCCACAACTTCTGGAGGTGAGCTGTTCCATTGGTTAATCTTATTCCCAAGGGTTTTTGACGTCGTATCTTGGAGGACCTCCTCCTTCAACAGCAGCTTTCCAATTTAAGCCCCAAGAGAAATGAGCTCGGGGCCTTTACTACTACTACTACTACTACTACTACATTGTCTCCTCGCTGTGCTGCTCCAGGTCTTCTCCAACAGGTCCTGGGGCTGCCCAGTTGGGGCTTGGCCACATCCGATGGGCCCCGTCTTCCTGTGTGGTGGGAATGGTTGAAGGTGGGGGAGATACTTTCAGGAGTTTTCAGAGCGTGGGAAAAGGACGCCCTCCCGGTTGTTTAGACTGGATGAGGTGTGAAGGCCGATGGGCTTGAACTGTTTTTGGAACGTTTCCTACCACTTCCTGGGGAGAAGAGAGACCCATAACAGGGATGTCCACAGGAGCTGGGCTTAAAAGGGTCAAGAGGGCAGCTGGACAATTTGCCTGATCAAATCCCTGCTTCGTTCTCTGAGGTGTAAAATACAAGGGGCAGAAGTTTGATTACATGGTGGCTGGTCATCTTAACATTTTTGACTCCAGAGATCCATTATTCCTTCCTTCCTTCNGATAGATAGATAGATAGATAGATAGATAGATAGATAGATAGATAGATAGATAGATAGATAGATAGATAGATAGATAGTTAGTTAGTAGTGGGATTCACTTACCTTTGCTGCAGATTCGCAAATGTGAGCAGCTTGTGTGCGATTTTGCTTCTCTCGCACACATCACTTTATGTGCATGCGCTGAAGATCACGCATTACATGGGGGCAGGTGAGCAGAGCCTCCAAAAGCAGCTGCTACCAGTTTGCCCAAACTGGTAAGAACTGGCGCAATACTACCTCTGGAGATATAGAGAGAAATGAAACATGTAATCATAGAAATTTGCTTTATGATCAGACATGTATTTATATATATCCAACTAAATTAATGCACTGATTTTCCTGAAGCAATGGTGACATTCAAAGGGCCACACTTATTTTAATTCCTATAACAACTGTATGATGGTTCAATACTCTTTTTTTAATGTATGCCTTTCTCTCCAATACAGCTAAAAGTAAATGATAATTTAATGAATTAAAAGGACAGCAGTAAAAGAAAATGTGAAATTGATGTTGAAATTTTACTTTGAACTTTAGCTTGTATTTCTCAATCTGGAAAAGAAAGGTAATGATCTACATTTCATTTTTTTTAGTATCTATGTGTTAGATTCATTTCTAGATTTGCATATACAATGCTGCTGAATATATTTCTAATAGAAATTTGACTGCAATTATTATAACTACAAATTAGTTATTGTGTATGGAAAATTAAGACTAATATGAGAAGAAAGAATCAACAATTTGGTTATATTTTGTTATTTTTTTCTGTTTTAGGGGAATTCCTATTCAATGTATGATACCTTTCCTTCCACGTGGAACCCTTTCATATATCTAGATTACATCAATTTCTGGAGAACAATGGATAAACTGGGAAAAGAGGTATGCTGGGAATAATGAATATGTATGCAACTGACTGAGACAATAAATAAAAAAATGCATTGTTACATGAAAGCTTACAAGGAAAATTTTTATATCACTGACAAAAAGTATTCAAGAAGCAGAAATATTTTACCTAACTTTAATGCAAATATAAAAATCTCCAATTTTATAGTGAAAGTTTAACAGACATATTACAATGTTTTTATTACAGTTTTATAGAGGAAAATGTATCAGAGACTTACATTAGTCCTTCCTTTTCTGTAAGATATAGCACCTCCATACAAATGGTCATCATTTTGTAACCACAGTTGGGACCAGCAACTCCATCACTAAGCAAATTGGTTACTAAGTAGGAAATTATACGACCCTGATTATGCTTCCCTTTTCCCCATCCCCTGACCCTTTGAAAAGCTCATCTCTGTGGCACTGCAATAGCCAGCTCAAATCTGACAAGACTAATCAGTTTCACGTCTTCCAGTTTTGTTTGGCTCTTAACCACTCACCTCGCCTTTAGAATGCTCACCCTGGAACTGGGATAATTAACAAGAATGGAGATAATGTTTGAATTTACAATCATTGGAGAGGATATAAAGTATTAAATAGAAGTCAGCACTGGTTTGTTAAAAACAGATCATACCAAACCAATTTTATTTCATTCTTTGATAAAGTGACTAAATTAGTATACCATCAAAATGCTGTAGACATAGTTTACTTAGATTTCAACAAGGTATTCAACAAAGTGGACCACAACCTACTTCTTGGTAAGCTAGAAAAAATGGGATAGATAGCTTTACCAACAGATGGATTTGTAACTGGTTGACAAACCATACTCAACGAGTATGGTACCCATTAATGGTACTATGTCTACATGGAGGGAAATAAGCAGTGGAGTTCCACATGGTTCCGTCTTAGGTCCAGTACTCTTCAATATCTTCATAAATGACTTAGATGAGGAAGTAGAAGGGGAACTCATCAAATTTGCAGATGGTACTGAGCTGGCAGGAACAGCCAACACCCTAGATGATAGGCTCAAGATCCAAGTGGATCTTGGTAGACTTGAACCTGGATGCTATCTAATAAAATGAAATTCAACACAGAGAAAACTAAAATCTTACACTTAGGCAAGAAAAACGAAAAATACATACACAGATTAGGTGAAATCAGGCTTAATAGCAATAACTGTGAGAGGGATTGTAGAGTCTTAGTGGACAATCAATTAAATATGAGCTAGCAGTGTGCAGGGGCAGCGCCCCCCCCCCCCAAAACCCAATCCAATCCTAAATTGCATTAACAATAGGATTGAATCAGGATCATGTGAGATACTAATACCACTCTATAATGCCTTAGTAAGACCACACCTAGAATACTGCATCCAGTTGCGGTTTTGGTCACTACACTATAAAAGAGATGTTGAGACTCTAGAACAGAGGTGTCAAACTCAAGGCCTGCATGCTAGATCTGGCCCATAGGGCCGGTCTGGAAACAGCAAAGGATCAGCCCATGGTGCCTCTGCCAGTGAAAATGGAGCTGAGGGGCATGCATGGACTCCCATGGCCCATTTTCAGCTCTGATGGCCTCCTGAAGCCCTCTGCCAGTAAAAATAGAGCATTGGGAGTGGAGAGGGGGTGCTCTCTTTTCACTGGCAGAGGACAATCAAAAAAACTAAAAACAAAACAAAAGGAGAAATGTTTCCCCTTTTGCATTTGAGCAAAAGAAGGGACAGGAAGGAGAACGGGAAAGAGGAAAGAGAAAGAAAAAATGGGAAGATGGGAAGAGAGCAAGGAAGGAAAAATAAGGAAAAGGAAAGGAAGAACAAAGGAGAATGAAGAGGGAAGGAAAAAGAAGGGAAGGAAGGAAGGAAGGAAGGAAGGAAGGAAGGAAGGAAGGAAGGAAGGAAGGAAGGAGATTATGAGAGTGAGGGAGGATCTTAGGGAAATCCTGCATTAGTACTTGGCCACCAGAGGTGTCCATGACACAAGTCCCATGTCACACCCACCATGTCATGCCCACCCACAACCATGCTCACCATGGCCATGACCACCCCTCCATGCCCCCCGGCTTTCCAAGGTCAATGAAATCGAGTTTGACACCTCTGCTCTAGAAAGAGTGCAGAGGAGAGCAACAAAGGCTAAAACATATGAAGAACGGTTGCAAAAAGTGGGCATGGCTAGTTTAGTTAAAAGAAGGACCAGGGGTGACATGATACCAGTGTTCCAGTACAAAGGGGCTGAGGGGCTGCCACAGAGAGGAGGGGGTCAAGCTATTTCCGAAAGCACCTGAAGTCCAGACAAGGAATAATGGATGAAAATTGATCGAGAGATTCAACCTAGAAATAAGGAGAAATTTCCTGACAGTGAGAACAATCAATCAATGGAACAGCTTGAGTTCAGAAATTGTTGGTTCTTTATCACTGGAAGCTTTCAGGAAAAGACTGGACTGCCACTTGTCAGAAATGGTATAGGGCCATGATAGCGAACCTATGGCAAGTGTGCCACAGGTTACATGTAGAACCATTTCTGAGGGCATTCAAGACGTTGCCCTATCAACTCCAGCGCACATATGTGCGCTGGCCAGCTGATTTTTGGCCTTGATTTTCAGCTGATTTTTGGCCTCCAGAGGCTTCAAGGAAGCTTCCTGAAGCCTCTAGAGGGCAAAACAACACACAAACCAGAAGTTTAGGAATGGACTTCTGGTTTGGGTGTTGAGCTGTTTTTCGCCCTCTGGAGGAAGAAAAACGGCCCAGCAGGCAACCCGGAAGTCTGTTCACGAACTTTCTGTTTCCATGTTGGGCTGTTTTTCCCCTTTCCCAGGCTCCTAGAAAGTCTCAGGACCCTGGGGAGGGCAAAAAATGGACCTACCAAGTCCATTGAAAGTTGGAAAAGAGGGCCTCCAGGTGGCGAGGGAGGCTGTTTTCACCCTCCCCAGGTTCCAAGAAAGCTGTACACACATGTATGGGGCAGCGGGAGGTTATATAGAGCCGAGGTGGCGCAGTGGTTAAATGCAGCACTGCAGGCTACTGCTAGATCAGCAGTTCAGCGGTTCAAATCTCACCGGCTGAGGGTTGACTCAGCCTTCCATCCTTCCGAGGTGGGTAAAATGAGGACCCAGATTGTTGGGGGCAATATGCTGACTCTCTGTAAACCGCTTAGAGAGGGCTGAAAGCCCTATGAAGCGGTATATAAGTCTACTGCTATTGCTATATGAGCATGCGCAGGGGGCATGGTGCAGGGATGGGTTATATGTGATTTTTTAATCAACACTAAAATATACTTTGTATTAAATATAGATGCAGTTTGCTTGCGTCTGTAGCCTTGTAATATATTCCAAAACATTTACCTTCATTGACATATTAATTATTTGTATTGATCACAGCAAGGTCCTTGGCTGGATATAAATTTAACTAACTAAATGGATTTTTAGCTTCAGAGCACATGGTCACTAAATCTTCCAAGACAAAAAAGTGTCTTTCCAAATAACTCATTATTAATTCAGTCTGATATACATACTTTAAAAACTGAGTGGAATTTTTAAAAAGATATTGCTGTTTTGTCTAAACTATGGAAACTGTTTTAGTATCACTATCAAATATATTCAATACATCTTAGATTACAGCACAATCAATAAAGCATTATATTTCAGATGCATGGGATTAATTATATTTGTACAGAAAAAGGAATTAGAAAATCACTACAGTTGCAATGAAAATATGCTTCAATAAATATAGGTTTTGCAATGTCTTAAAGTTATTATGTTCTAGAAGAAGTAATTGCATATATGGCTTTGAGATTAGGTTTAATATTTTTGAATGTACAAATCTTATTGCAGTACGTACCTATTGCAGGGATATTAATGGACAATGAAAATAGATTTTTCCATGCTTTCTTTTTGCTAAAAACATTTTATTCAATATTGGACAGATAATTATATGGCCGCAATTAGTGGGTTGAAGTCCTGATATCACTTGTAATTCATGGACAAATTGTTTACAAGGATGGATTAGCTTATGATTGTGCCTTTTTTAAAAACAGTTGTGTTACAATTTCATTCATTTCATATGCAATATTCTCTCTCTCTCCATTTTAAAACAAGCAGAGATAAGCAATTTAACTTTGTAACACGATAGGGCTTGCTTCTTTTTATGACCATATTGTAAGGACAATGGATTGAGGTTATTGATTCATGAAAAGAAAATCAGCAAATAAACTGTGCCTATTTACAACACTTGGTTTGTTTTTAGATTCCTGCTGAAGCACCATGGGATGCACCACATGCTAAAGAGTTGGACAAAATTTCAATGAAACAGTTCATTGACAAACATTGTTGGACAAAGTAAGTGATCCATCTTCAGTTATAATCTTATTACTATATGCCCATTTTCTAGCTTTCTACATGTCACATATACTACATGCTTCATTGTTTTTTCTATATTCTCTTTTTTTCTTGTGGGAGATAACTAATTGTAGTACAATCGTATATCCAATCACATGTTAGAATGCTAGGGCATATACAGACTTAAATGATGATAACATTGTAGCTGTATTGGTCTTCCATTGAAGAAAGAAAGAAAACTCCTGATTAAGGAAACAACCCTTATTAATTTATAATATAGCTTTATTCAATAAAATAGATTGGATTTTCTATATATCTATCTAGCTTCTGGGTTTCAGCCTCCCAGACATTGTTCAGAGAGGATTTCCTTCACCATAAATCTCATGTTTAAGAAGGGTCCACAAGTTCTTAATAGGGTTTAGGTCAGGTAAGGAAGGGGCCATGTCATTATTCTTTCATCTTTAAGGCTTTTAGTGGCTAGCCACACAGTGGAGTACTTCAATGCATGCATACCGATCCAGCCATGGGCCCATCCATCTGGTCTGCCAAGAGTCACTCTCATCAGTTCATAAAACCTTTGAAAAATCTACCTTCAGATATTTCTTAGCCCAGTCTTGCCATTTCAACTTATGTGTCTTGTTCAATGGTGGTCAGATTTCATCCTTCCTTACCTTGGCCATGTGTCTGAGCACTGAACACCTTGTACTTCTGGGCACTCCAGGTAGGTTGCAGTTCTGGCATATGACAGCACTGGAGGATAATGGATTTCTGGTAGCTTCACATTTGATTCTTCTCAAATCTTTGGCAGTTAATGTACATCTTTTTTCCTCAACACGTTTCTTGCAACAAAACTATTTGCAACAAAATGTTTGATGGTTCTGTGATCACACCCCAACATGTTAGCAATTTCAGAAGTGCTGCATCCCTCTGAAAGACTTTTTACAATTTTTGACTTTTCAGAGTCAGTTAAATCTCTTTTTTAGCCCATTTTGCCAGAGGAAAAGAAGTTGCTAATAATTATGCACACCTTGATATAGGGTGTTGATCTCCTTAGGCCATACCCTCCCTCATTACACAAATACACATTACCTGATCTGCTTATATCCACTAAGCATTTAAGTTTATACAGCCTGGAGGTGAAAAATATGAATACAAAAGATGATATGGTCAAAATACTCAGTTGCCTAATAATTGTGCACACGGTATATCTATCTAGCTACTGAGTTTCAGACTGTTGTCACTGATGCCAAAGCTTTGACCAGAAACAACAATATTATGTAATATTGTAATTAAGTTTTGCTGGTGTTCTGTACATTTGAGCATAGCCACTGTGTGGTCCTTTGTAATAATAAGGCTTCTCCAGATCTGTAGTCTTGAGGACTTAGAAATAAAAAGCTGTATTTCCCATAATATCTGAATGTATTCACACATTTTATTAGAAAGTCGGGAACCATTAGTTGCTATCACTTTCTCAGTTTGCAACCTGATTTAAACATGGAGCAAAATAGAATGGAAATAGAAAATTATAATCATAATTAAATCATAATCAAATTTGGAGGATTGATCTAAATCAAGTTATTGAACTTTCAGTAGAGATGTAAGCTGTACTTGACTTTTGAACAGCATGTCATGTTCAAAAAGCCATTAAGATCAAGAAGGGAGTGGTGCTAGAATAAATATCACACTTCCGATAGAGGCACTCTCAGGAAGGAAGATAGCAGATTTCTTACTGGCATTCTTTTACCCATTAAAGAAAAAGCCAATAGTTGTTTTCACCTATTAATAATATTCATGATAAGCTTAATAAGGCTTCATTTGGAAAAAAGAAGAATGATTATTTGACAATAATAGAAAACAGAATGTTCCCCAAAGCAAAGAGTATTGCATACTGCAGCTATTGAATATACAGTATGTGCAGAATCCATTGTTTCTACGTTCTTTCTACTACACAAACCAGTTGTTCACAGGAGAATGGGTTTGGGATACCACCTACTCCAGCATGATGTGCTGCCACAATTTAAATGTCCCCAAGCATTGAATTGTGAATCCTTCTACATTTAGCAATACTATATGTGAATCTCGGGATATAGTAACAGCAGTATAATGTGAAACACCCATTACACAGTGCACAAGTAGTGTGTTAGGAAAACTGTCCTTTATGTAACAGTCTTGCCTTGTCAAACTAAGGAAATGCACTGTTAAATTGGTTTTCCATTTTGTTTCATTTCTTAACAAGATAGAATTAATATGTTGTGCCTGCCTTTGGATTATATACAGAGCTGCCAGGGACTTCGCTGCAAGCTTTGTCAACATCAATGTCACTTCAGAGACACATGAAGTCTCTGCTCTCTGGTTCCTGTGGTATGTGAAGCTTTGTGGGGGAACTACCAGGATTTTTACTATAACCAATGGAGGGCAGGTAAAACAAATGATTCATTTGTCCTTCCTTTTGAGAGTTCAAAATGAATGAATGTGATTCTGCATTTCTGTAATAGGGAGAGTTCTAAAGTATAGCAAAGAATATTTTCCCAAAAGTTAGAGTAGCTTTTCAGTTGTGGAAATGGATGCCCATTGTGGAAGGCCAAAAAAGTCAGTGGTGACTACTATCTTAAGTTTCATTGGCTTCCCCCTGCAGACATCTCAATATGGAATAATTAATGAAAGTATTATTTATTGGCAGTATTCTTATATTTCTCCTGAAATTAGATTAATATTATAACAACTCTTATTCTCATCTATTCAGTACAATATGGCTCTGACCATATCGTAATTATATTGTTTTGTTTCCATGGTTACAACCAATGTCCATATAGTCAAAAATCCCATACCAAATAATTTTTATTAGCAATTTTAATTATAGCAATAAAAACTAATGAAAACTAACTAGAAGATAGAAAATAGAATGGAAAGAAAGAATAAAAAATACAGGGGGGAGAAAAAAAAGAAAGAGAAATAATCCCATATAATATAGAAATATACAAAAGGATCTCCAATCTTCATCACAAGTATAAACAAATTAATAGCTCATCACCCTTTTAGGTTTAAACAGATATCTTTTCATACCATATCCCATTCCATATTTATTTACTTGCAAACCATACTTCTCTCTACTCCACTCTAATCTCAAGTCCATCACCTCTAGGTGATATCAAAAATATCCAAAACAATCATATCCAAATAAAAGCAAAGCTAAAATATAATGTAAGTGCTGACAGCCTGCTAGAACTTCTTTGTTGTAATTCCTCTAGTATAGGCTAGAGCAGTGGTATCAAACACAAAGCCCGTGGGCCAGATTCGGCCCATGATGTGATCGGATCCAGTCCGTGGGTTCATCCTGGAAAATTTAGGGGGTCAGCCCACGTCGCTTTGGCCCAATCTACTCAGTGCGAAGAGGAAACATTGGGCCAGTGTGGCTTTGGCCCAGTCTACCCAGTGTGAAGAGGAAACACGGCAGCAGTTTGGGGAGGGGCGTCAAGCTGGCTACGCCCACCCAGTTGGCTACACCCAGCAAGTTGGCCATGCCCACCCTGAGATCAATCACAGCGCTGATGAAATTGAATTTGACACCCCTGGGCTAGAGAATTATATTTTTCGGTCCAGTCCCTTAAAATGATTATTTGAAAATCTTATTTAATGGATATCCCACTCTCAGCTACATTATACCAGTTATATGCTTCAACACTGTCTCCTTATTTGTTGTTCCTAGGAGAGAAAATTTATTGGAGGTTCTGGACAAATTACAGAAAAGATAATGGAACTACTCAGAGATAAAGTTAAACTCAAGAGTCCTGTAGTCCATATTGACCAGTCAAGTGATGACATCATTGTGAAGACACTGAACCACAAGATATATAAGGTAATTGAATAACATAAATTAAAAAAGAACATGCTTGATGCAATTGGCCCCATTATTGTTTCTCTGCATTTCACATTACTCAAGATACTTTTCAAGTTGCTTTTATTGAGAGATTTTGTAATGTAATTGGCTTCTGACATTGCACCATCACTTGACTATCAGTACAGTAGTTGTAGCTTTCATTCTATACCAGTATAAATATTGTATTAATGAAAGCGTTAATAAATATATACAGAAAGCTGTAATATGGGGGATCCTTGGTACTCTCTGAGCTTGGTTGTTCCCTTTTTGGCTAGTTGATTGTCACTTTTGCATAGTCTATAGATATTGTTTATGTCTATGTATCTATTGATGGCTAATTTGTTAGAGTGTTTCTAGAACCTTGGCACTCTGACAAATTAGTCATAGTATGCACACACACAAAAACGCTATGCAGAAGAGGCAATCAGCTAGCCAAAAGGGGAACAAAAAGAGCACCTCTCCATCAGATGAGCATAGATTAATTCCAAGAAAAACATCAAACCAACAATCCAATAAACAATACCTCAATCAAGAAACTGCCAAACAAATTAACAATAAACAGCCCAACCAAAGAATCTCTAAGGCCACTCCCACCAACACTGATAGGGCAAGCCACTAGGTTATAAACTGAGAGCAAACCCCACTTCTACCTAGCAGTGATGATGTTACCTCGTTTGGGTAATAACGTCTGCAAGCAGTGTTCCAGTACTTGAGGGGCTGCCATAGAGAGGAGGGGGTCAAGCTATTTTCCAAAGCACCTGAAGGCCAGATAAGGAATAATGGATGGAAACTGATCAAGGAGAGATTCAACCTAGAAATAGGGAGACATTTTCTGACAGTGAGAACAATCAATCAATAGCACAGCTTGTCTTTGGAGATTGTGGGAACTTCATCACTGGAAGCTTTCAAGAAGAGGCTGGACTGTCATCTGTCAGAAATGGTATAGGGTCTCCTGCTTGGGTGGGGGATTGGACTAGATGACTACAAGGTCTCTTCCAGCTCTGTTATTCTGTTATCATCTCTGCAGAGATAAGATTGGTCCTCACTTTTAACAAGTGAGATCTGGTTTTGCTAATAGGTCTGGGGAACCGAACATGGGATGGAGCCAATCAAATTGCTTATTTGATTAACTGTTGTTACTAGGGACGCAGGGGGTTGTTGCTGCCATTTTTTATATGGGTTTTTATCTTTGTAAGTCACCCAAAGCCACTGAAAGTGAGTTGCAGCTTTATAAATTTATTTAAAGGGATAAATGAATTTGGTTGGGACTTGAGGCTTTGTTTTAGCTAGACTGAGAAAGGAAAGGGTGAAAGTAAATGAGATAATTGCCTGATACAGGATTTCTTATTTTAATAGGAGAGTGGTTGGGATTGTCTTTTTTTTAAAATCCAGAATGTCTGTGGGCTGTGGGGGAGGAGGCAGGAGGAGAAAGAGAAAGAGAAAGGGGAGAAGCAGCTCATTTACTTAGAATTTCATTGTTTTAAAGTATTTGACAAACACTATGGACTTTGAAAAGGTTCAAAATAAATTGAAATATAGAAATTATTTTCAAAATGTGTCAAAGATTTGAATATGCTATATTTAAACAGGGCAAGTATGTCATTAGTGCCATTCCACCGATATTGACTGGAAAGATTCATTTCACTCCGGAACTGCCAACAATAAGAAACCAATTAATCCAGCGCCTCCCGATGGGTTCTGTCATTAAATGCATGATGTACTACAAAGAAGCCTTCTGGAGGAAATTGGGTATGTATGGAATCTGTTTTATGACAGTTAAACATGTTTTAATGCCTTCGAATCAAACTTCAATAACATGAACAATAATAAAAAATGGGTTTTGTTGCAAAAAACGTAGATGGGATTAATCAGCAAACATCTGACAAGTTATAATGTATGTCTAATAAAGTGAGATTATCTTACATAGGCCTGGCCTGGTTTATGGTTGAGTTACAAGAATGCAGCATTGCAGGCTACTTCAGCTGACTGCAGTTCTGCAGTTCGGCTGTTCAAATCTCACCGGCTCAGGGTTGACTCAGCCTTCCATCCTTCCGAGGTGGGTAAAATGAGGACCTGGATTGTTGTTGGGGACAATATGCTGACTCTGTAAACCGCTTAGAGAGGGCTGAAAGCCCTATAAAGCAGTATATAAGTCTAACTGCTATTGCTATTGCTATAATATACTTTCCCTACACAAGATGTAGTGAATTTCTGTATAAGTTCTAGTTATATTTCATCAGATTAATGTCCCCCATTTGCTTTCACAAATCTCTTGGAAGGTTATTTGGCAGAATGGCTCTAAATGTTTATTTGCTAAGAAGGAAAGTAAAACTGCAAAGGATCACTGAAAATGCTTACCAAGAAATTATGCTTGAATTTTTTTGTTGGTCATCCTCCTTTTATTTTTCTATCAGGTTTTTGTGGCTGCACAATTATTCTGGATGATGATGCTCCCATTTCAGTAACATTAGATGATACTAAACCAGATGGATCCATACCTGCTCTTATGGGGTAAGAAATCCAACATTTATGTGTTTGGCTACCAAATATGAATAAAGTTGTATTGAAAATTTGATTATAGCTGTGAGTCCTAAAAAATCAGATTTATATCATATCGGTTCCCACATACATGTTCTCAGTTCTGTCTTTTTTCCTTCAGTAATATTAGCTTTTACCACTTTTTGTTGGACTCATTGAACTCTACAAAAAATATACAACAACTGTTCTGCTGCCTGTGAGAAAGTTCTCTACTTCCATTCCTAACATTGCAGGGAAAATGAATATATATTTCATGTCATGCTGCAAAATGATGTTATGCCATGACATTATTGTGGCGTTTACTAGTTTTTCCCTGTAGAGAAGATTAATCACTTGCTTTCCTATCCTTAATTAGGAACTCTAAAGATGTGGTTAATCTTAATTGTGGTTTATTGATGCTACTCAGCATCATAATTCATGGTTTGAACCTCCCTTGTTCCAAGCCACTGTGCATTGGATTTTGAGCCCATGACAGGCTAAATTTAACTGAAATAGATACAGAAGCTTCCCAATATCTGACTTTGTATCAATACCACAGGAAGTGAGGAAAAATACATATGCTAATGTTACAGTCTTTTCAGAATACTGTCATTTTAAACCCCATGCCAAATAGTAGCACCTTCTTACAGCTCTCTGCTGCCGAGATGAAGTCTGAAGTCTCTTTGTAAATCAGATACACCATTGCCTCCAGATACTGAGGCCACTGCTTCTTGTATGCACTTTCTTCCCTGTAGATTCTCCCACTTCTTTCCTTCCCATTGCATATACATCCCACACACGCACACCCCACACACAAAGAGATGTCCCTGCTTTGCAGCACAGTCAGTACCCCATGAAAACTGCTATTCAGAACAGGCCTCCCATAGACCAGATATCAAGAAGAAGACCAGATGGGTTTGGCAAAGCATAGTCTTTTCCTCTTCTCCATTGCTGGCTAAATTGCGGTTCCTTTGCTGATTGTGACTGTGTGACTCAGATTAGTGGTGGGGGTGGGGTGGTTTGCAGAGTCTTGTTGACTAGCCTCCAGTGATTAAGCACAGTCAAGCTGCTGGAAGTTCTCCACTGGTCTTGATTCCAGAATGGGATAATAAGGTGGAAGTTCAGTTAAGAAGTATTGGGATAGCCATAACCCACCAGGCTGCTCCACTGTGAGGCAAGAAGTTCTACCTGCAGACAGTGATGAAGGACCCATGCTCCTGGCAGTCACCCTTCACTCTCACAGTTATATACCTATTATTCAAAGTGATGTGCATAGCCCACTATCTTTCTGTAGCTGCTTAGCATATGTGAGATAGTGCAACTGAAGGATGCCTTCTACCATGGATGTTGAAGTGATTCTTCTCTTCTCACCCATTTTGACCTGATGTGTTCAAGCCCAAATAAACTATTTGCCTATTATCCTGGAAAAGGGGAGAGTCTCATTATACAGTTTGAGAACCCCAGCTACTATAGTTAGCATTTAATTTTCTGCTATATATGTAGCTGAATATGTGCCAGGCAAAAATTAGATTGGTAATATTTTCAAGATACAGTAGTTTTTTCTTAGAGCAGTAATGTTGTTCATATATGTTGCATGGGGATATATTCATTTATGTAACACTGATGGAATTTTTTTTATATTTAGATTTATTCTTGCAAGAAAAGCTTTTAGACTAGCAAACATTAGCAAAGAAGAGAGGTAAGAATCAACAGATTTTGGAAGTTTTTCTCATTTAAATTTTTGTTTTTCATTCTCTGACAATAATTAATTTAGTGTTAATCTACTATTAAAGTATTGTTTTCTACCTTTGTTGCAAGACAATAACTTTTCATAACAAGCTATTAGTCCAGGTTTCCAAAACCCAAAACCTAGTTCTTAAGGATCAGAATAGATCAAAAGAGGTAAAATGGTGGGAAATTTTGTAAAATTTTGGAGAACGTTAATCCTAATCCTAATCTTAACCCTAACCCTGAATTTTACTACATAGCCATGCAGTTATAGCAAAGAGAAAGAGGACAAAATGAAAGTGTTTCTAATATACTCCTCCCCAACAGTACTTCAACTCAAGATGATACAAAGCCTGCTACTTTTATCTGTGAATTTGGCAGTAGTTTAGAATAAATATTTCTGGAATTATGTACTGTATTCTATTGTGGCTTATTATTCTATTAGTTCATCTCATTTCTATACTCCCAAATTGAATGCCTTGTGATGTTAGTTTAAAAGCTAATTATGAATTTAGGTTAGTTTTAAACATTTCATTTTTCCTGCAGAAAGAAAAAAATCTGTGAATTGTACGCTAAAGTACTAGGATCAGAAGAAGCTTTATATGTAAGGAAGAAGAACATTTAAAATTGGTGAAGTATTGATTGTTACAATATTGTGGTCAGGCCATATGAATTTTTAGGATGCATGCCCAAATTAGATTTAAACTATTTAATACAGCCTTTTGAATAAAATCCTGAATTAGTAATGCAGCAATGTTTTTCTCAAGCATTAGATACACAATAGAAGATGTGAACTAATAGAGAAGTGGGGGAAGGATTTGAAGTTCGTGTTGCAGACAAAAAAAATGAAACTGGTTCTTTGGGACAGCCAGAAAGAATAGCTTTTTATTATGAGGTTCACCATTTTGATAGTTGACTAAGCCTACTTAGAACAAAAAGTCAGGGCTTAACCAAAGTAGTGTGGTGTTTAGAATGTCTTAGAGACAGGAGTTTGACAAAAAATTGTGAGCTTTGGCTAGGCTGCTAAGAGGCAGCCTTTCGAGATAGCATTTGGGATTGGAGAGCTATCTGATCATTTTGCTATTGTCTTTTTGCATCCATTGGCTGGATTTATACAGCAAATTTAAGCAAGCCACTAGTTTTTTCATAGCTCTGCCCCTAGACATAGCAGAATGTAATCATGCGAGCTACATCAAGGGCTGTAATTTTGAAAAATATACAAGCTCTGTTCATTTTCTCCAGTCCTACCATAGGAAGCATTGTGCCAAACTTGGTTATATAAATTGTTCCTTCCCCATTGCACAACATAGCCCCAATATGTTTGGGAGGCATTTTCTTTGTTAATGGACTTCAGCAGCACCTTTTGTAATGTAGTGCCTTATATTTTCCATCATGATACACCTCCATCTCATTTCCTGGAAGTTTGATTTGCTAAATTGTAAACTTCCTTAGTTGACTGCATCCCACATGAGGTACTGACTAGAGAGTAGTAGTCTGAGTCAAAAATGCTCTGATACGGTTTGGGTTAAAACTGATTCTTGATTATCCCTGATATTGTCTGGATTTATGGTTTCATAGCATTCTATGCGAAATTGACTATATTAATCTTGCTTGTTTGTGTCTACTTTCCTTTTTGTTACTTATCTCCCTGTCCACAATTCCTCACATTTATGAGAACTCACTAGAATTATTTACTCTTTTTGAACTTGGTGAACAAAACTAGCTTACTTTTAAAATAAATATGGTTTCAGATTACAACAGATTAAATGTAGGTTGATAGTCTGTTTGAAAATCAAATTACCCTAATGGGGAAAATAACACTTGCTGAATTTATTGGATATAACTTCTGATTCCTCACCATGGGGCTATAATATGTGAAAAGAGTTCTGAAAATTATAGATTCTCTTCATTAAAAAGTTAAAACAATATACATTATGTTCCAATTATTGGGGGGCAGGAGGCCAAATAAAACTTTTGTTTATTCAGTAGCCAGGACACATAACATCTAACTGAGCCAAATTGTTCAGATAGATTCTATCAGCAAGCAGCCTATGAAGTTTAATCTAGTACTTCTCAGTTGATATGAATCTGCTTCTATGTAATCAATATTTAGTAATCCCAATTTTAATGCTGCCAACATCTTTTTGAAAATTTGCTTTATTTCTCATCTTGGTTTATTCTTACAGCCAGTGCATTATGAAGAAAAGAACTGGTGTACAGAACAATATAGTGGAGGCTGTTATACAGCATATTTTCCACCAGGCATTATGTCCCAATATGGAAGGTAAAACAAAATAACAATGTTCTCGTTTCTTGGCATTGTTCCCCACAGTTATTGGATATTTGACAAAGTACCAGAACAATGAGCTAATCTCATATTTGAAAGAAAAGTTTATAAAAATATTACATATTTGGCAATATTAAAGTTGCAGCTAGTGCCTTTGACTTTAGTACTGTTGAATAGAAGAAAGTCAAATATAAAATCAGAGCTTAATTGCAGATTATTATTTGAAGATATGATCTTGGAATTATGTGGAAACTGTTCAAGTGGTAATGTCTCAGGGTAGCATATTTACTATTCTGGGAAAATAAAGACGAGAAGAAAGGAAGTTAAATAGAACCATTTAACTGGAATCTCTTTCAAAAAGAGTTGGGCTACATTTACCCTTCAGGCATTTAATAGTACTGGCATCAGAAGTGTTATTCATCCAGTTTGCACCAGTTCACCCAAACTGGTGGCAGAAATTTTGCCCAGTTTGGTGAACAGGTAGTGATGGCCGCTGGCCACTCCCCAAAACCAGTCCCCCTGTCACCGGTTGCTCACCCTCTCTTGCCCCGCTTTGCATACCGGTTCTTAAAGAGGCTGTGATTGGTCACAGGCCACTGAAAAGTCCCCCGGTCAGTGAAAAAGCTGCTGCCATCACTGCCATTTTCTTTGTGCATGTGCATCCCATTGTCTTGCAAGTCCAAGCGGACTTGCAAGGCAATGGGATGTGCATGTGTGAAGAAAATTGTAAAAGAGCCAAGGTGGTGCAGTGGTTAAATGCAGCACTGCAGGCTACTGCTAGATCAGCAGGTCAGCGGTTCAAATCTCACCGGCTCAGGGTTGACTCAGCCTTCCATCCTTCCGAGGTGGGTAAAATGAGGACCCAGATTGTTGGGGGCAATATGCTGACTCTCTGTAAACCGCTTAGAGAGGCCTGAAAGGCCTATGAAGCGGTATATAAGTCTACTGCTATTGCTATTATTGCTATTTTCAGCAGCCTGCAGCTAGCCACTGCCTCTTTGAGAGCTGCTTTGCAAAGCAAAGGAGGCAGCTGGGAGGCTTCTTCGCTTCCCAGCAGCGGCAGCTGGTCGGGGGCCGCTGAAAACTCCAGTCAGCTTGCCTTTTAGACTCTGGACCAGCTGCTCTGGAAGGTAAGCAACCAAAGAGGCAGTGGTGGGGGAGGAAGCAAGGCTAGGGCCAGGGTTTGGGAGTGGAAACGGTGGCAACTGGCAAAGGGAGGGGGGGTGGTAGATAGAGAGAAATCCTAAAAACTTTCCTACCTTTTCCTGTGGGTGTGGCTTGGTGGTGGTGGGGTCATGTGACTGAGTGGGCATGGGCGTGAATGCCGTTAGGTTGGCTACGGCCATTCAGTCACATGCCCTCACCTAGCCAAACCCACCAAACTGGTAGCAAATGTTTTGAATCCCACCACTGGCTGGCATCCCAGGGGCAGCAGGGATTAAAAGTTTATTCATAACAGATTTGAGTTGTGGTAAAAGTCTTATTATTTGTACAAGTAGCAGCATGGTAAAACAAATGAATAGCAAAGATGTATCACTTCCCTTCTACTCATTAAAAACACTGCCATATTTGGTATACAGCTTGGTTAAGTGTGTGAAAAGCATCAAAAAAATGAACCACACAAAAGAAGGATGTTGCAAAATGTTTGCATTCCTTGAAACAAAACTTTACAAAGTTCACAGAAAATGTAGGATATTGCCTCTTATTGTTCATGCAAATATATTAGCTACAAGTGGAATTACTATCTCTCTATTTTATGGGTATGTGTTTTCTTTAAAGAATAATACGTGAGCCAGCTGGTAGAATATACTTTGCTGGCACTGAGACAGCAACTCAGTGGAGTGGCTATATGGAAGGAGCTGTGCAGGCTGGAGAAAGAGCTGCTAGAGAGGTAAACAGAACCACTACTATTGGCCACCTTCATGAAAGACCCAAATAAACTAGTTCTATTTGAAACATGATTTGGGAAATTGGCATTGATATATTCAATATTGCTACACCAAAGAAAAATTAAAACTACCAAAGAACAATGAAATATATATATCAAGTTACTGTGATACTATTTTGATACCTGACTGTATTTCCCAAGACAAATATCTGTATTGTCCATACTATAGACAAATGGCCTTCTTTAATCTCTTCTATTTTTGATCTCTTCTATTTCAATTGCATGATGCACTTGATATAAAAAGGATTAGTGTTACTGGAATATAATTTTTCTCTTCCAGATATTGTACAGCATGGGAAAAATTTCAAAGAATGAAATTTGGGTAACAGAACCAGAATCAAAGGTAAGTGTGCTCAAAAATAATATTTCTCCATATATTGCCTTGTACTTGACTGGATCACTCTCCTGTTTTGGGCCTAATGGAAGATGAAGTTATCTAATAAAAAATTGACTATGGAGTTAAGAACAAATTTATTACCCAGTTTGTTGAGAATGGATTGGGATGGATCGGGATGCCCTGTGCACAGTCACTCACGCCCTCGTCCTTTCTCGCTTGGACTACTGTAATGCTCTCTACATGGGGCTGCCCTTGAAGAGCACCCGGAGGCTTCAGCTGGTCCAGAATGCTGCCGCGTGGGTTGTCATGGGGGTACCTAGATGCTCCCATGTTACATCCCTTTTAGGTGGCCTGCACTGGTTGCCGGTTGTTTTCCGGGTGCAATTCAAGGTGTTAATTATGATCTTTAAAGTGCTCCGTGGCTTAGGCCCAGGGTACTTGTGAGACCACCTACTGCCACCGGTAGCCTCCCACCATCCAGTATGATCCCACAGAGTTGGCCTTCTCAGGGTGCTGTCGGCCAGGCAGTGTAGGCTGGCTACTCCCAGGGGGAGAGCCTTCTCTGTGGGAGCGCCTTCTCTTTGGAATGAACTGCCCCTGGAGCTTCGCATAATTCCCAACCTCCAATCTTTCCAGCGTGCCCTAAAAAGTTGGCTTTTCCAGCAAGCCGGCCTGGCCTGAGTAAAATAAATTATTAATTTTAATTGTTAATTTTAATTTAATTTCTAAATCTCATTGTAAATGTCTATTGGGTTTTTTGGATATTCTATTTAATCTTTTAACTTTTTTAATATGTGTTTTTATTTTGTACGCCACCCTGAGTCCTTGGGAGAAGGGCGGCATATAAGTCCAATAAACCTCCGCTTTACTACTGCTTCAGCTGCCATTGAAACAGGGAGGGGGGGCATGGTATTTGGGAGCGGAATCATTGTTGTGCTGGAGGAAGTTTCTAGACTCTGAACTGACCACCTTACTGCACATGTGGAGGAGGAATGTTTCCCGCCAAGGCCAACGGTCCAGCATTCCATCCTGGTGATGCCTTTTGAAGTTATCTCACACCTGACATTTGGGAGAATTATGATTGGACTGTGCATGGGGATGCCAAGGGGAGGGGAATGAATTATACAATATATTATTCGCTTTCATGCCTAATTAACCGGACTTAGCTTAGCTTTGCAACTGTTCATTTATAATTAGTAAAAGTACATTTGATTTCAACAAATTGAGTCCAGTGGTTTTCTTTCCTGATTACTGAATGAAGAAATGCTGACACTAAACCTAAACCTAACCTAATATATTTAATGAATGCTTAAACTTAAAAGAAAAACAGTTGAAAAACTTTGTCATTTCTTGCAGATTTTACTTTTTTTTCACCATCTCACATACATAGAAAATGAATACAACTACATAGCTTGTAACTTGAAGTAACTCTATGTGCTTATGAAACTATTGCAACTTGGTGCACAATGCATTATAATAGTTAAATGGAGAATAGAGATACACTAGAAACTGAATGGATTTTTCATTGATTTTAGTTCCATTGCTGCTACTAATAGGAAGCTTCCTCACATGTGCATTTAATAGCCCAAGGAAAAATATAAGCATTGTAATCATCTACATGAAGTATTACTTTACAGAATGATATTTGTACATACTAAGGTGATTATTAGGACAATATTTCTGATGCTTGAAAGAGTAATGATAACTAAGTGAATATGTGATTAAGAAAGAGTCACACAGAAAGAGAGGAACATTGTGACGATCACTAGTTTCTACCATCTCATTTAAATAAAGTTCTCTTATTCCCTTTCAACTATTCCAGCATGCTCTCACTTTGATGTGTATTGTTGTGAGCAGTGGTGGGTTTCAAAAAATTTTAGAACCTCTTCTGTAGGTGTGGCCTGCTTTGTGGTAGTGGCTTGCTGGCCATGAGACCAGGTGGGAGTGGCCAACTTGTAAAATGTGGTGAAACTCATTTAACAATGCTCTTGCTTAGCAACCAAAATGTTGGCTCAGAAACTCTGGCATTTGAAGCACGCAAGCCTTAAAGCTGTCAAGTTACAAGACCCTTGCACCCCTAACCCTTCAGAAAAAACCCCCAGGGGTGTTCAAACTTGACAGCTTTAAGACTTGTGGATTCAACTCTCAGAATTCCTCCTCTCGCTCTTCAACTTGATGGTGTGCGGACGGGCGGGGGGAGAGAGCTGGAACCAGTTCTAAACGGCACTGTAGATTTGTGGAACCTCTTCTATAGAAGAGGTTAGAACTGGCAGGAACCCACCCCTGGTTGTGAGGCACACAAAATTTGGTTGTAAGTGCACACATTGTTTGGAAAATGATTTTATTATTGCCATGTATTACCACATTTGTGAACAGTTGCTAAATGAGGCACCCAGTACACAAGGTGTGGCTGTAATAAACCCAATTAATAGAAAATGAATACATTTATCTTTATCAGTAGATATTCCAAAGTTCAATGGTGTTATTTTTCATGATGGATGATGATGATCCAAGCTATTTGCCATACTTATAAATACAATTCAGTGAAATGTTCATTTTATCAGTGTTTGCATTAATAAACTAAGCATAAGAATTGAGAACCAACTTTTGTAGGTGGCATCAGTTCAATAGATGCTCAACTACAGTTATGCACTTTCTGAGAAAAGAAGTATAAATATGTGTTTTTATAGAATTAAATACCACTGAATTGAGGTAGGGTAACTTCTTGATAAAACTGCACTATGCTGCAGCTTCAGGTTTCTCAGATGTCCATGATCTAACAATTACTGTAATATGTTTCATCCTAGGAGGTTCCAGCACTTCCAATTACGATTACATTTTGGGAGAGAAATTTGCCATCTGTTCCTGGACTGCTGTTCTTTCTTGGATGGTCTACTTTCATCACCTCATTGGCTACAACTGGATTCTTTGCCTACAAAAAGGGGATTTTTTCCCGATAATGTATCTGACCCAGAATTTTCCATTTATTCCCTTCATGCTATGAATGTTTTTTTTCTGAAAAATCTGTCTTTCGTGCCCTTTGGAATAGCTGGGTTAATACATCCCAGCCAATTTAATTAATCTTTCTTTAAAACACAAAGGGAGGCAGGAAATGTTTTCTTTTCTTTCCTCAGTGACTTCCTGCTTAAAAGTTGGTGACCTCTCATCATATCTTTCTATGTAATATATATTGTAATGAGAACAAAGCAAGCTTGTCATAATCTTTGAAAAATTTCCACTTCTCTTCATGTTTCCAAAATCTAAGGACTAACAAAATCTGTGTTGAAGGCTTACTCCAACTCCCCCTTCCCCCAGTCTATGCCCTCTGATTGTGTTGAACTGCACTCTGTGCTGTTAGAGTTTAAGGGAGAAATGCAGCCAGCACATCCTTCACCATTAGAGGTGAGGAATGGATAGGTACTCTGTGGCTTGTTAAATTGCCTTCATATTCTGTCAATGGTCTGCTAAATTTCATATGCTGCTGTTTTAAAAAGTAAATGCTGCAAAAAGGATTTTGCTTGCTTTATGCTAGGGTACATTCCCTCAAAACCTTGTATAAAACCTTGTATACATAATGTGAAAAAGGGAGTTGTGGGCTGTGGTGTTAAATTCTGCAATCCAAATACATTGACAAATATTCTCATACATTTCTATAACCTTATTCTTTAGCAATAAATAACTCAAATATGTTTTCTTCCTTGTCTTTGTTCTATGTACAATGAAAGCATTTTCTCGATGTTGTCTACAGCTGGATTTCTAATGCATGTAGTTATTATGGCAGATGAAGATATTGAATGCATCATGGCACTATGAATAATATCAGAATTCTTTGTTATGTTGCATCCGATACAGTAATCCAGGTTAAAAGCTTGTCCTAATGCCAAGGATCCATCATGGCATGATATAGTATCTCCAATTTTGTTTCCAGAATTATTTTCCCTTTTATTTTGTGTAAGTGGTTTGGACCAGTTGTTAACACCCATTTCATCCAGGGAGATAATAGTACCTATTACCAATACAGAAATAAGTGGAAGAAAGGATGCACAAACAGAACATGATGTAATATGCCCAAATTCATTTCCAGAATTACTTTGCCTTTTATTTTGTGTAAAGGGGATTGATGCCTATTTTTACCCATGGCAACACCCATCACTATTACAATTATGGAAGTAAGTGGGAGAAAGTATACACAAAAAGAACAATATGTAAGTGCATGAATGAGGGTAGAAAAGAGTTTTCCCAAGAAAATAATCAGTTTTGGCAGGGAGACAACTCAGCATGTTTCCAGACCTTTGGCCCAAATGGACTATGCTGGCACAAATCGCATGAGAGTGATTTATTTATTTAGTTACATAGAGTGGATTCCTGGATGAAAATGATCAGTCTCATACTATCAGCTATCTATTCTTTGTCATTAGAGGCATACATATAAAAATGACAGAAATGAAACACTAAGGAATTAAAAACAATTAAAAAATAAAAATAAAACACAGCAACGGTAAAACAAGATATAGAAGGGACACACAGAGAGAAAATAGGGAAAAATAACTAAAGTGAAAAAGTAAACATTAATTGATTTTAATCAGAGAATTGGGAAAAATAAAAATAAACATTGGCTGCAGTAGAGTAAAAGACATTTAGAAGAATGCAAGTAATGAGCAATTCATGGAGGTGAAAACAAATTTCTGGTCTCTCAAGAATACAACTTTTCTCTTTCATATTTCTAGCAACCTGATTTTCCCAGTTGAAGACCTTATATTTATATTCATTTGATAAATGCATGTCCAACATTATGTTTGTGAAGGAAAGTTTTTGTTGCTATTTATAGGTGGGGGAAAAAGATTATACAATTGTTTAAGCAGTTAGACACACACATCGTGTATCTAATTTTTTTCTGTTTGTGTGATTGGTTTGATTTGGTTTGGTTTGACATGAAATGTGTGATCCCATCTATTGTGGTTTGTAAACAATACCTTATGATTTTATGTAGTATATTTTTACTCTATTCTGGTTTATTCAATAAGCCATGAAAAAAGCAATTATTTTCATAGGGCAATACTTGTGAATTCAGTCATTTCTTCACAAATGTGAAAGAAGATATTTGCGGCAGGAAATCTGATGGTAGATCTCTACACACACATGCATGTTCCACTTTCAAATATCTATATTCACATTTAACTCTTGGCAAGACACCAGTGAGACAAGTGATGTGAGACCAAAACATTTCTTATATCATTTGTCATAGTCAAATAAATGTACAAAAGCAAAACAAAAGAAAGTGATAATGTTTATTCAGTGTGAGTTAAAAAAACTTCACGCTGCCAGATAAAAATATATATAACACATATTTAATAGGAAAATGAACATAATAGATTTCATGAACACAATCACCACAGAGGCACTTTTAGAAGAACAGTACAATTATATAAGGCACAATCACAAAACCCATATCTTGCAATTGGACTGTCACTTTAGTTTTACAAAAGGCAAACATGACAATAATCGAGGAGCAAATGGCTCAACAACAGTTTTAGGGCACAAGGTATTTCATTTAAAAAAATTAAATCTTATTTTGAATATTTTTTAAAATTTCCTTGAATGGCAACATATTACAGAAGAAAGTTTTAGGGAAGAGATGCTGGAAGGAACATTACATTTAGTCACTTACAAAATTTACTTAATGGAAAATTGTAATTTTTAATTGCACTGTTTAGAATTGCAAAGGCAACTGCCTCGTCTCTTGTGAATTCATTTTTGCAGAACAGTTTAAGTACATGAAGATTTCTCTTTCTTAGACTAAATATTTACTTTTATCACTTAAAAAATGGGTCTTCGGTTTTAGAAACCTGCTTCTTGATATGCTGTGGATACAAGGGAAAGGTTTTACCCAAGTTTTTCTTACGTTGTGGGCTGTGAGCACTTTCTTTGAACAGAGAAAAAGAGACTTGGCAGAAATTAAATGTGCTAGTTTCTTGGTACATATTTTGACCTATAGACATCCAAATCAGGATACCAGTATATAGTAGAAATGGCTTTTAAAATTATCATGTATATTTGACTTATAGTCAGAGTGTATGCATGTATATGTGAAGCACATAATTTGACTCCCTCAAGAACTGTTGGCTTCAATACTCTGCATAGGGATTTTGTTTGCTGTCCTTTCTAGGACTAGATGCACACTTCAACATAAAAAATGTTTGCACACTGACCCATCAAGACCTATCAAAATGATGATTCTGTAGTCAAATGGAGACCAGCATCCTGATCAAAAATATATAGACATAATCCCACTTGTTTTAAAATAAATTACAACAGCATACAGTATATTGTGCTTTTCTCACTCAATAAAAGTTTTAAAAACACATTTCTAATAATATTTTCCAAAGAATAGTCACTTATTAAAATATTATTTAAATTATGCCTTATGTTAATTGCCATTAATAGGTTATTCAGAAGAAATAATTGTTCTTAGTTTGAAAAGATAGGTCTATTCTGCCTTTTCTATGAACTTTCTGAATCATCTAGCTAGCCAATTCACATCAAGAGATTGCTTGACCGAATGAGCCTTCTGGAGATCTAACAATTTATATGCATTTTTGCCTGTCAAGTGAACAAAATAGCTCAAAATCTACCATTGGACTAATAAACAATAGGACTATTTATTTTACATAAAATAAATTCTGAAAGTTGTGGAAAGGAGAACATTGGGATAATGTTTAACTGATCCAAGTAGGATAGATATTTCTAACCTATTTTATACTTGTTTCCAAAATTTCCATGAAACTTTGCTGCAATATATAGTTTAAGAGTTCAATTACATTGCAAAAATAGTTGTCACCATGACAACTACAAAATCGGGAACAAGAATTAATATCTTTGATGCTTCACATAAAAATCTTGGTAAGGAGGGGGAAATATCAGATTTAGTAATTAATATATCTCTTAATGAAGCTTAGGATCAATCCAATTGTAGCCTTCTGGATGAATGGCAATATCATGAGAAATGGCAACAATGACAAAATTTATACATAGTATTACTTACAATTACTCCTTACTGCCCTCCAAATTTTGTTCCCAGGTTGTGATATCACTGTCTCCTGTTACAAACTGTAACCAATGTATGTTTGGTGATGTTATCCTCATTCCTATTCTACTTTGTTCCTCCTTCAGTTAGTTTCCAGGCTATATTTCTTCTCATCCTTTCCTTTCCTTTCCTTATCCCTTACCCTTACCCCTTCCCTTCCCAGAGGCTATAATTTTCCAAACACTCTAGTTACTTTTTAACTCTTCTCCATTTATTTTCTCCCAATCATTAATTAGATTCTGCTTTTAAAATCTTATAAAATAAACAATACAACTGTGTGGATGTGCATGTTTCTTTGTTATGTTAGTTAAAAAATAGCAGGATGAAACAAACATTGGACTCTGTTTTTCTTAACTCTAACCTTTTAGAGGTTAGAGGATATCTTAAGTTATTTCTAAAGTCAAAGAACTGCCAGGAAGCAGGTTAGTTGGTTCTGCTCATCCCAAATAAAGCCCTGCTCTTCTAGCAGTTCTGAAAGATGAATTGCCTGGCTTCAGGGAAAGTGACAAAGAAGCTATCTTTAGATCCAGGTCAGCTTCTGATTTTGTTCTTTTCAAACAAGAAAAGAAGCCAAGCAGTTGATGAACTTTTGCCTTTGGTTTCCCCACATCAACCTTTTGTATTCTTTCTGTTCCTTGGATTCTTGTATTGGATTGCAATATAAATTACCATTGAAGTATTGGACCTGCTTCTGAGAAATATTATAAAAACATAGAGTTAGGAAGGCCAAAACTTCAATCGGTTCAGCCTTTTGCCTAAAGCAGGATCTTCCAGCAAAGCCCATAGATTAGATCACTTTATTCAATCCAAACTGTACATCCAAAACTAAGAGCTAAGGGGTTTTTTTTGTACAGAGTTTCATTTTCTATTTATTTATTAATTTCAGCTTTCACCCATCTCATAGAATGAGGAAGAAAATGACAAATAAAATGAATAACGAAATATATTCTCAATAATTGTCCACTATTTTAATGCATGGGTGGAGGCATTGTTGTGAGTGAATTTTTATAACTGCAGTCTCAGAGCTTAGCTACAAATGAAGAAGACTTCCTAAATACAATCCTATTTAATCATGAGAGTTATATCTGGGATCTATTTTTCCCTTAGTTCAGCTCCTGCCAAGAATTTAAAGGTTGCATTCTTACTCACACTCATATTCATTATAGGCAATTGCTTAATAAATGCACCCTTTGCCAACCTTGTGATGTCTTGATGTACACAAATGCCAGAATTTCCTACCACCATGTCTTCTCTTATGGCATTATAGAAGAACGAAAGGACAAACTGTAATAATCTTCAAGTAGTTTGTTCAAATTTAAAACCTTAGCAACTTGAAATAATTCTTTGGTAACTGAATGCTCTTTATTTATATCCAAATTGATATTATAAGCAACCCCAAAATTATGTCTGCATACCAAACATGTGGGTTGTTATCTAATTTCATTAATCAGTGACATCAACAGTTGTACATTTTACTACTCCTATCCCATGTCATTGGCAGACAGTAGGAAGTTCTCTGAGATAATAATGCTGTGATGTCATCACTAAAGCTGCGATGTTATTCCATTTGTTGCTTATGGTGAGTGTTTAACAGAGGGAAGAAAGAGGCACAAAACAATGCCAGGTTTTGTTAAAGTTTACTTTGATCCTTTCCTTTGCATTTTTTCTTGTTTATTTAAAATGATTTCAACCAATTAATCAATCAATCAGAATAGAACTGGAAGGCACCTTGGAGGTCTTCTAGTCCAACTCCCTGCTGAAGCAGGAGACCCAGGACCATTTCAATCAATCAATCAATCAATCAGTCAATCAATCAACCAATTAATCAATCAATCAGAATAGAACTGGAAGGCACCTTGAAGGTCTTCTAGTCCAGCCCTCTGTTCAAACAGGAGACCTACAGTGTTTCATACAAGTGACTGTCCAGTCTCTTCTTAAAAATCTCCAGTGATGAAGCATCCACAACATCTGGAGGTAACCTGTTTCACTGCTCAATTGTCCCCACTGTTAGGAAATTTCTTCTTAATTTCTCTCCATGATTAGTTTCCATCCATTGCTTCTTGCCCTGCCTTCAGGTGCTTTGGAAAATAAGTTGACCCCCCGTCCTCTTTGCGGCAGCTTCTTAATACTGGAATACTGCTATCATGTTCCCCTCTAGTCCTTCTTTTCTCTAGACTAGCCAAACCCAAATCCTGCAGCCATTCTTCATATGGTTTTGTCTCCAGGTTTTAATCATCTTAGTTGCTCTTCTTTGTACTTTTTCCAAAGTCTCAACACCTTTTTTGTAATATGGTGATCATAACTAGATGCAATATTCCAGCTGTGGCCTTACTAAGGCTTTATCAAGCAGTACTAATACTTCATGTGATTTTGATTCTATGTCTCTATTTATACAACCAAGGATTATATTAGGTTTTTTGGCTGCTGCCACACACTGTTGACTCATATTTAAGTGATTGTCTACTGGGACTTCAAGGTCCATCTCATGTAACTTTTACATTACATCATCTGTTACATGTAACATTGCATGTAACATATCTGGGAGAATCCTGTGTAAGAGACTTTGGAAAGCCTCTGCTAGTCAGAACATACTGTACCATGGGATAGCCCAGGCTCCTCCAGCCTGGCACTCTGCAGATAATTCTTGAAATTTCCAGATTTCAGCTATCTTCTAAAGTTACTGTTACTCCTCAAGCCATTAAAGAGCATAAGCCTATAAAAAGCTAAAGTGTTATTTTTATTACATGGTAACAGACAAGGCTTGTTCTTTTTTCATACTGAAAAGTAAACATGGGACCCAAACTAATCCTGACCTTCTATATCTACAACCAGCATGTTAAAACCACCTCACTGAAATTAAGAGGCTTCTGCCTTACTTCCACCCCCAAGTGAAAAATTGATTCTCTTAAATTTCTTGAGTCCTGATCTACACTATTACTTTTTATGAGAAAGACACTTGAGAAAAAAAGTGCTACTTATTAAATGAAGAGTTTAGTGTGACCCTGAGAAGGCAGACTTCTATTAAATACTGTATATATCAGTATGATGTCCACTTGTAGCATCTGATTTAAAAATACTAAACAGTGCAATTCCAAGTATCTTCATTCAGAATGAGATCCATTTCAATGAAATTGCCTTCTACAAAGTCTGCAGGCCCTCAGATACAATCGTTTGAGAAGGGCAATCCAAGAAGAGTCAAATAGAAAGATGACAAATTACTTTAGAGATTATATGTGCAAATCACATCATTGATATAAATCTATCTCTAGCAATATAACCCAAAACATTTTTTAAGAAATAAAATCAACTTCTCTCTTTCAACCCACTTGAATATTATCAAATGAGGAGTGAGCCAACAAATGATATTAAGAAATCCTTTCAATCTATAAAAATACATTAATGTCAGGTGGGAAATGAAGGGGATCTCATTCAAAAGCAGTTTGGAGGAAGCAGAAGACAGGGAAAAACATTCTAATACTATAGCTAAACATTTTTCAAAATTAAATCTCTTTATATCTGTCAATCCTTAAGCAAGATTTAGGCCTAATTATATTTTTAAGAAGGATATTAGAATCCTGAGAAAAGGTATTCAATTTTTTGAAAAGCCAACGTATCCATTTATCATATTTAAGAAAAAGAGAGTATGAAAGTTATTTCTTAAAAAGTTAGTGAAATCCTAGATAGCTGTTTCATAGGCCAGGTAGAGGTTCAAAAATTCTTCCATTTGCTCTTCACTGATCCTAAATAATGGGATTACTGATTAAGATATGCAAGTAATCCTCACTTAATCACCACAACTGATCCTGGAATTTCAGTTATAAGTTGTTGCAATTGTTAAGCGAGTTATCATGTCACCTAACTCAATTATGACATTTTTATTAAAGTCTCATAAAGTGAATCACTATAGTTATTAATCAGCAAAAACTCAGAAATCTGCAAAAACATCACAAACTGTGGTTATGTGACCACAGGACACTGCAAATGATCATATATGCATCTGATTACCAAATGTGTGAAATGCAATCACATGACTGTATGTATGCGTGTGTGTAGCAGTTATAATTTCAAAGACAGCTTGTAAGTAACATTTTTGGGTGTTTGCTTTTTGCTGCCAATATGACTCCCTTTAGGATCCAACTTCTGCCATGTCGATTTGCTGCACATTTGTGCTGCCATATTTTTTTTGAGCTGAATTTTTTCTTCAGCTCCTGAAGATAAATAAGCGGCAAAAAAATTATTTACTTGCTTCCTTCCCTTTCTCTACAATATTCTTCAGCCTGGTAGTCACTCATCAAGGTAACTAATTTGCAGATTTTGTCCCCCTCTTTCTAGACATGCAGTAAATTTAACAAATCAGATAGTTAAAGGGATTGAGATTGGAGGGCAGACAGAGAATTTAGTTTCAGCCTCTAATGGTGGGGGAAGAAAAATCAACAAGTTTATCCCAGGTTTTTTGCTTTCTTTCTTGAACAAATATAGATACCCAGGGCAGGATGGGGATGGGGAGAGAGGCAGGAGATGCTGCAGAGTCTCTATGGTCAGACATAAGGGTGAATGAATAGCTCGAGGACTACCTGTAATTGGATTCCAGGCAACTATATTATTTTTATAGCAGCCAAATTGTGTAGTGCCTTTGGAAACAGATGTTGGACTCTATCACAATTTCCAAGACACCTTGAACTAATAGGCAGAATACAGATAATTGCAATCAACAGTCTAAATCAGGGGTCCCCAACCTTTGTAGCCATGGCCTAGCTGGGAGTGGGGAGAGGGGAACCGGGCCACTTGAGTGGCAGGTCAGGGCACAGGCACACAGCTTGACTTGTGCAAGTAGCAGGCCAGCATACATGCACATATGTGCATAGCTTGACTTGTGCAAGTTGAGCTCTTTGTGTGTATGTACGCAAATGTGTCATCCCGCTGCTCATGCAAGTCAAGCAGTATGAACACATGTGCCAGTTCCAATTAGGCCACAGCCCAGTAGTGGGCTGCAGCCCAGATGTTGAGGACCCTTAGTCTAAATGAGAAGGAAATGATTGTGTTAATGTATATAAATATGCAGACCAAATTGTATAGTTTCCTATTAGCATATCTGTTTTCAGTTTTGCACCAAGAGATCCTTTTTATAGGCAAAGAACCCAGCTGCAGCCACTGATGTAAAGAAAACAGAGAACCCCATCAATTTCAGTAGTCCAGGAACAGAAGGCAAGTTCCTTTCCCAAAATGTGGCAATTATTGGCAGGGCTGGCACATCCTGGATGGAAGAACATTCACAATTAATGGGGGTTATTATTTTTTTCAAGATTGAGTGCCAGAAAACAACAAAACAGTTTTCTTATGTTAAATAATTACAGTTTTCTAATATTATTGGAGGAGGAATGATTAAAGTAGAGCGGTCCACATTTTTCAAGCAGAATACTACCCAGACTAATATATTAAGTCAGATCAGACCAGAGGTTGGTTCCTACCAGTTCGGACTGGTTCGGGCGAATCAGCAGCAACCCAGGCATGTCATGCCCCCGAATTGATTCTCCAGGCAGCGTCATAGGCGCCACCATCTTGTTTTTTGCTTTTGCGCATGCACAGAACTGTTTTTATTGCACTGTGCATGCGCACGTGGTATGCACGTGATGCACACACAAGCAAACAGGCAGTAGTGCCTGTCGGAACCCACCCCCAGATCAGACTTGAGCATTTAAGGCCCCTGGAGCACATCTGGCTGTTTGAATGTCCCTATCTGGTCTGCATGAGATCAAACAGAAATTAGAAATCAAATGTAAATATGTGTATGTCATGCACATAACACAACTGCATTGCTTTTATTTTGAAGGTGACTGTTGGTTGTTTTTTTAAATTTACATATGTGTGTCCGTGGGTGCCTATGGACCTTCACAGCCCTTTTGGTTCAGTCCTTTATCTTAGTTCCAGTTTCTCATGTGGCCTCTTGTGAAATTAATTGGCTACTTCAGGATTAGATGTTACTATTCTTCTGACTGCAAGTTTCATGTTTCAAGCAATTCTAAATATTTAAGGAGTTGTTGCAGATAATAATAAATGTGCATATGGAGAGAGAGAGAAAGGGAGGGAGAGAGAGAGAGATTTTCAATCACACTCCCAGACACCTTTAATCCTCAGAGGAATTCTGTTCTCCATTCCTGGGCTTTCAAAATACCATTAGGTGGCAACATGAACCAGATCTTTTCTGAGGTAGCACCTGCCCTGTGGAATGATGTTCATATTGTGCACAAGGCCAAGCACAGTAGTGTTGGCTTTCCCCAAGCAATGACCCTAATGAATGTTTGTTTTTTGTTTTTAATGTTGTGATTTATTCTTTTTCTAATTATTCCTTTTTCTTTTATTGCACTCTTATTCTTTGTTTTTATAATTCTGTAAAGTGATTTGGGATTTTAAAGATGTGCTATTAAATCAAAGGAGATAAATTTGTCCATTACTAGGTGAGAAATACTTTTCACAAATATGACAAATATGCATTTCACAGAAGAAATTCTAACAGAATGAAGGAATTGCATCTAAAGTAGATAATAGTAATGTAGATTAATTTTTCAAACCTTGCTCTTTAACAACAGGAAAAAGGACAATATTAAGAGGGACTTGGAAAATATTATATTATTTTAAACATGAAAAGGAATAAATGAAATTGAATGCTATGCTGTTAAAAATAAAAGAAAATTAGGAAATGGGTTGAAAACAAAATAATAACCACCAAATATAATTAGGCAAATCTATGATATGATGCCATATTTAAGATACTGCATCAGGATTGAGGTACACTATCTTAGGAATTCCAATCGCTATTGGGAAAAAATGTAGAAAGTTGTAAGAGCCATGGTGGCGCAGTGGTTAGAATGCAGTACTGCAAGCTACTTCTCCTGACTGCCAGCAGTTTGGTAGGCTCACCAGGCTCAAGGATGACTCAGCCTTCGATCTTTTTGAGGTGGATAAAATAAGGATTCAGATGGTTGGGGGCAATAGGCTGACTCTGTAAACTGCTTAGAGAGGGCTGTAAATTACTATGAAGCAGTATATGTCAAAGTACTTTTGCTAAGTGCTATAAGGATATGCAGCTATTTGGATCTGATCTTCAAAAGATGCTAAAGAGTAGAAGGGATGCCAATGGCTGCCTATTCCTTTAAACAAGATCATATGGCAGATGCATGCAAGGCATCTAAAAATTATCCATGCCAGGATAGTGCATAGTGCAGAAAATGATGTGAAGTGTTTCAGGCCTCATGTGAGCAACTTTGTTCTCTGTTAGATATTTTTTTTAGAATTCTGCATGATTCTAATATGGGTAGTCCTCAATGTATGACCACAATTGAGCCCAAAATTTATGTTGTTAAGTGAAATATTTGTTAAGTGAGTTTTGCCCCATTTTATGACATTTTTGCCAAAGTTGTTAAGTGAATCATTGCAGTTATACAATACAATACAATACAATAGCAGAGTTGGAAGGGACCTTGGAGGTCTTCTAGTCCAACTCCCTGCCTAGGCAGGAAACCCTATACTGTTTCAGACAAATAGCTATCCAACATTTTCTTAAAGACTTCCAGTGTTGGGGCATTCACAACTTCTGGAGGCAAGCAGTTGATACGTTATTAACCTGTTTGCTAAGTCAGTCTTGCGTCCCCATTGATTTTGCTTGTCATAAGGTTGCAAAAGAGGATCATATGTCCCTGGGATGCTGCAATGGTCATAAGTATGACCATTGAGAGCCGAGGTGGCGCAGTGATTAGAGTGCAGCACTGCAGGCTACTTCAGCTGACTGTTAGCTGCAGTTCGGCTGTTCAAATCTCATTGGCTCAGGGTTGACTCAGCCTTCCATCCTTCTGAGGTGGGTAAAATGAGGACCCAGATTGTTGGGGGCGATATGCTGACTCTGTAAACCACTTAGAGAGGGCTAAAAGCCCTATGAAGCAGTATATAAGTCTAACTGGTATTGCTATTGCTAGGTATGAATCAGTTGGCAAGAATCTGAATTTTGAGCACATGATCATGGGGATGCTGCAAAGGTTGCAACTGCAAAAAACGACCAGAAGTCAGTTTTTTCAGTGCCATTGTAACTTCAAACAGTCACTAAATGAACTGTTGTAAGTTGAGTTACAATGTCATCTAGCTCAATTTTATGACTTTTTATTAAAATCTCATAAAATGAGTCACCATATTTATTAATCAGCAAAAACTCAGAAATCTGCAAAAACATCACAAACTGTGGTTATGTGACCGCAGGACACTGAAATTGATCATATATGCAGCTGATTACCAAATGCGTGAAATGCAATCACATGATTGTATGTGTGTGTTGTGTGTAGCAGTCATAGATACAAGCTATTCAAAGATAGCTTGTTACATTTTTGGGTGTTTGCTTTTTGCTGCCAATCTGACTCCCCTTAGGACCCAACTTCTGCCATGGCCATTTGTGCTTCCATTTTTTTTCTTTTGAGCTGTTGTAAGTCGAGGACTACCTGTAAGGATTCTAAACAGTTTTTCATGGAAGCCTGAAAGTCAGGCTGCATCAGTGAATAATGAGAGAAGGTGCTGTGCTCACACAAGGTCCAAAAACCTACCTTCAAATCATGTTTGCATAACCATAATCTAAACACACTCATTGTGAAAAGTGTACTATAGCTTTTATTTATGTTGGAGGAGTGAAATCAAGCATTTATTTATTTATTTATTTAAATCTGGGTGGCTTACAATATTAAACGATAAATTTTTACAAAACCTGTACACAATAGTATGTAAATACAGTGGTATCTTAGTACGCAACTGCTTCGAAACTCATCAAATTTGCTACTCAATCCATTTTGATGTGGAAATTTTGCTCAATATTTATCGTTTGTTTGGTACTCAACACACAAGCTAGAAATTGTTGGTGTCAGCTACCTTGTGACTCACTATATTATTCCTTATGGGAAAAATCTGGTACTCATCACACCTCCTGGAACCAATTAACAAGGAGTACCAAAGCACCACTGTAATAAAAAAAGATAAATAAACAACCCTAAGTAAAGATAGGGAGGGAGCTGGATGAGGAGGGGAGAAGGTGGGATCTGTTATTAGTTTGTCAGCTATCTCCAATGTGGCAACCCCTCCTCATGGGAGCTCAAAGCCAGCTGACAGAGCCAGGTCTTAAGTTCTTGTGGAAGGTCATGTGGGATGGAGTTAACTTCACTTCAGGGGGTGTGAAAATCATATTTATTTACAAAAGCTATTCAGCAGGTCAAAATAATGGGTGGTTTTTACAATATGGGCTATCACAGCTATTGTTAAAGGCATATTGTTGGTGAGATTTTAAATTGCATTCCTATAATTAACTTACTATACATGTAGTCCTTGACTTATGACTACAGTTGGGACTGGAACTTTCATCACTATGTGATGATGTCACGTTGTAGCTTTTAACAGTTGCTAAACAAATGGTCGTAAATCAAGGACTGCTTGTAGTTCATTTATTATGTTCAAAACAGAGTGAGAACCAAACCATTCCTGTCCACAGCGTCCTTTCTCTAATTTTATGTATTGATTTCACATTTTCATCTACATCAAATAAAACATTGCATACTTACACGTGTCCCAAAGATGCTTCTTCAAGAGGCAACATTTTTAAAATGTTGTACGCTGCCCTGAGTCCTTTGGGAGAAGGATGGCATATAAATCCAATAAACAAACAAACAAACAAATTGGACTTTCTGGTTTTTCTTTGAAGATGTTTCGCTTCTCATCGAAGAAGCTTCTTCAGAGCTTCTGAGAGCTGAAGAAGCTTCTTAGATAGGAAACGAAACATCTTTAAAAAAACAGAAAATCCATTTGCCTCTTGAAATGCACCCTTTGGACAACCATGACCTGGATGATTGAGAACCTCCATAGACCTTGAAGAAGAAGTTCTGAAGAAGCTTCTTGGATGAGAAGCAAAATGTCTTCAAAAGAAAAAACAAGGAGGTCTAGTTGCCTTCTGAAAAAGCCCCTTTGGACAACCATGACCTGGATGACTGAGAATTTCCATAGACATACTTACATGTGATTCTGGTTCAGATTTCCATATTTCTCCTGAATATCTTCCCATCGACTGTAGTACCTGAAAAGAGGTGTTTTACGTCTTATATAAAAAGCAAGTGATCAAAAGCTTTTCCAATGGCCATTTTAAAAGATATTCTGCTTCTGGTCAAAGTTTGGAAATGATACATTATAGAGACTGTAAATATGCAAATATGCAAATCTTATTCACATAAATGGGAATTTTATAAAAGTGCAACTTCATTAAAAAAAACAGTCAAGACAAGTCAGGTCAGATTCTTTCGCACAATTTTTTTCTCATCAACAAACATGAGATTAGATTCCTCATCCACATAGCAATCCATTCATTTTTAAAAATAGGCTGTTTTAAATGACTAATACAGAATAATGCAGCTTTATCTCCATTTCTAGTATTCAGTTTCATTTTCTTTTACATTGGAGATTTTTCCTTATCATCAGCATGCAAGTCATCCTATCACCATCAGAACTTTAGAGTCTTATTTAGCCAGACCAGGATATTCAGAGAGAGCTCAGTGAAACTGCCTCTTTTGATATTCTAATGCCTTTTTAAGAATTCTCTTTTTGCCATTTTCTGAGATTTATTTAAGTCCTAAATACACATATGACATCCAGCTTCTGTAAGTTTGGTTTTAGCTTTTCATATTCAATGCTTTTTGCTTGCTTTTGCCAAGCGCCAGGGAAATCAGGAGATTCAGGTAGTTCAAATGAGAAGAAAGATTTATTTATTGCATCATGACTAATGCTCTGTTTGACTCCTCCCTCAAGTTCAGCCTGGTCATCTTATATAGCTTGTTTTTATTACAAGCTTAATAAATAATTTATCTTTAAGTGGCAGTAATGCAAACCAACATGAGGATGCTTTGGGTTGGAAATCCATCCAAAGAATCATCATGAAAACCTAAGTAAAATTATTTGATGCAACAGACTCCCTACCTCTCTGGCTGCTCTTTCTCCAGCCTGAACAGCACCTTCCATGTAGCCACTCCATTCTGAAGCTGTTTCAGTACCTGCAAAGAAGATCTTCCCAACTGGCTCGCGAAGAATCCTTTGAAAGCAAGTGCAGATCATGAAATGCCAAGGGACACCTTTCTCTGATTATAAACAGTAAAAAATTATTCCTAACATTAGCATCTAAAAGCATCACCTATGACCTTTTATTTCTGATCAACTTGAAACTTGCTCCAGTATATTCTGGGCAAAATTAAATGTGGTATTAATTAAATGCAATAAACATGCACATTTCCCCAGGCCCTCGAAACTGTAATTTGCAACAGGGGAAAGAGTCTCTGTTGGCAGAAATAGAAACTTTTCTTTAATGCAGTAATATGTAGTGGGGATGATGCATTATAATACACAACCATGTTTTCCCTTACCCCACTTCGCCATCAATGAGCCTACTGAAAAACTGGCCAAAATAAATTCAGCTCTAGCCATTTCAGTGGAATTGAGATCTTGACAGCCCAAGCCCTATTTGTCATTTGTAAGGCTGTGAGGACCATTGATTTAGACATTCAGGACAGGAGGTTACCCTAGCTCTGTTGTTGATATGTTTTTATGATTGGAAGATGTTCTTTACCTGAGGCACCATGGATTATTGTTCTAATTGTTGGGTTTTAACCTTTGCATCTCACCCAGAGTTATTAGCGTGAGATAGATGGCCATATAATGAGTGGCCTTTCTCTGCTTTCTCTGCAATAAAGCAATATCAAGCCTATCAAGGTTTTGCTGTTATATAGTCCCTGAATATATTTTGCAGCCAAGCCTAGATTGGTGTGATAAGAAGCCAAGAGAATGAATTGCAGTCCTAGCTTCAAGATTTCTCTAAAGAAATCCATCAATTCCTGATTGAAGGAGGTGTAAATTTGGGCTTTTAGCTCTATCACCATCCTTTGATATATTGACGTGATTATTTGACTTCAAAGTACAGAAAGTTATATACTACAGTATTTATACAATTGCATTATATCTATAATTCTGTGTTTATAATAATATATTTTTTCAAATGTTTATTAGAATTAGTATTATCCTTTATAAGTAAGCCTTGACTTACAATAGTTCATTTAGTGACCATTCAAAGCTGCAATGGCACTGAAAAAAAATGAGTTATGACCGTTTTTCACACGACCATTATAGCATCTCCATGGTCATATGATCAAAATTTAGAAGTTGGCAACTGACTTATATTTATGGCAGTTGCAGTGTCCTGGAGTCATGTGATCACCTTTTGTGACCTGCCAACAAGCAAAATCAAGGGGAAAGCCTCATTCAATTAACAACTGTGGCAAGAAAGGTCATAAAATGGGGCAAAATTCACTTAACAAAAGTTTTGCTCAGCAACAAAAATTTTGGGCTCAATTGTGGTCATAAGTTAAGGATTATCTGTTTTAAATACCGGTAGCCATAATATATTACTAAATTGTATTTTTAAAGTGTTAAAGTAAATTTTATTAAATACATGTCCAGAGACTAATAATGTTAAGCTTCATTAAACTTTTAATTACATGTAAATGTAAACAAAATAAAACCATGTCGGGTTTTTTTGCTGGACCCAGTTATTACTTTTTGGATTTTTTTTCAAAAGTATGTGGTGTGAAAGCTACATGTGCCCCAGTGGTAGGTTTCAAAATTTTTTAGAACCTATTCTAACCTATTCTGTGGCTTGTTTTGTGGGAGTGGCTCGGCGGTCATGTGACCAGGTGGGCATGGCCAACTTGGAAAATGAGGTGAAACTGTGGGGAAGCCTCTGCACAAGCCCGGGCGAGTGAGAACAAGTTCCCGCCATTATGAAGGCTCTGGGACGAGGGATGGAATCTTCACCACGGGACAGTAAAGCTCTGTCTGCCAGGGGCAGTAAGACCAAAGCCCGTCTCCAAACTGGCCCTTTCTCCCTCTGGCTTCCTTCCAAGAGTCTCCGCTCTCCAGGACTGTAATTTGGCAGTGTGTGTGTGTGCACACGCCTATGTTTTCCATGGCGTGGAGCAACTCCAGAGCCCATCCGCGACCCCCCCCCCCATGGAAAACAATTGGAAACGAGGTGGCTGTGAAAGACAAGGGAGCATGACCTGCACGGCATGTACAAACAGCAAAAGAAGGAACAGGGGAGGAGTTCAGCTGTTTGAAAAGCCCCACATGGAACTCCTCTCCTGTTCCTTCTTTTGCTATTTGTACATGCCGCGCAGGGCATGCTGCCTTGTCTTTCACAGATGTCTCATTTCCAATTGGGGCGGGGATCCATGGAGAGGGATGGAAAAGATGGATTCCCCCCCCCCCAATTGGAAACAAGGCAGCTGTCAAAGACAAGGAAGCGCAACTGCATGGCTTGTTCAAACAGCAGAAGAAGGAACAGGAAGGGAGGATTCATTGGACAAGCCCATGCGCTGCTCTCTCCTCTGACAGACTGGCTGAAACCCACCTCTGATGTGCCCCTCACATGGAAAAAGCTGTGCACAGTTTTGATAGGAATGTTTTTGCAGGCTGATGCTGCATGTAAACAGCTTTAATACTCTAAAAAGAATGATATTCAACTTGATTAAAAAAGAAAAAGGAAACATAACACTGATGATAAGGCTATCTATTTACTACCCAAACACTCGTATAAGGCTGAAAAAAATTATCCAAGAATAATTTATAAATAAGACTCAGTTATCTGATACATATATAAAATTTTAGAAAGAAAAGAAAACATAACAATAGACATGTACAATATCCAGAGATTATATCAGAGATATAATCACAGGACCGATTACAATTTATTAATAAATTGTTTTATTGGTGTTTATAGAAAACTGAGATAGTGGAAATATGGTGGAATTTGAGTTAATAATACTGTTTAAAGATAAAGAGAGGAATATGGAAGAACCCCAACAAGTGGGCGGGGAAATAAGCACAAATTGGGGGAGAAAGTATTATATGTATTGATACATAAAAGAATATATTATAATTATAATGAACATGTTAAGGTTAGAAGTTGGAGGATAAAAAATATGTATTCGTAATTGTATTATTATTGTTAGCACTGTTTAAAAATGTATTGACCTAGTCATTACACTGTCCACAAAATATGTTGGCTGTTAAAGGAAAACTGCAAATAAAACATATACAACAAAAAACCTTTCTTTCTTTCTTTCTTTCTTTCTTTCTTTCTTTCTTTCTTTCTTTCTTCTCTTGTAGCTCATATTTTCTTTCTCTCTTTCTTTTTTCTTCCCTTAATTTCCTATTTTTATTCTTCTTTGTATTTTATAAATTGATAAAATAATGAAGTTATGATATAAAAAATCTTTTTCTATGAACTCAAGGAACACACGTGCGCTTTTCTGCTTTAGGGTGTGTTTTTCTGATGTTTTTCAGAGTACCGTATTTTTTGGACTATAAGATGCACTTCTCTTCACACACACACCCAAAAAAGTGGGTGGAAATGTATGTGCATCTTATAGACCGAATGTTGCCAAAACCCTGGCTACCCACCAGCTCTCACCCTTCAGCCTCTGCCTCCCAGCAATTTGCCTCCTTGCAGCAAACAGCAAACAGCCTGGTCCACATCAGCACAGCCTGATTCAGCATGAGCAGCTGATGGGTGGTTGGATCTGCCTCGCAGAATACCACCGATCAGCTATTCCAGGCTGCAGGGATCACCGTCACCCATCACCGCTGTTCCACCCATCGCCACTGCCACCTATCGCTGCCTCCATGTGCCCCACTTTCTGTCTCCACATGTCCATTTTTTTTACCTCTGTGTACCATGTTTTCGGTGTCTGCACGTCATGTTTTCAGGCCATTCCAGGCAGCAGGGATCCCAGTCTCTGCCACCTATCACCACCCCCTGGAACAGGCTAAAAATGGGGTGCGTGGAGGCAGCGATGAGTGCCACCGGCGTCAATGGATGGTGGGGAACAGCTGATCAGTGGTATTCCGGGAGGCAGATCCAACCATCAATCAGTTGCTTGTGCTAAATCAGGCTGTGCTGAAGCTGACCTGGCTGTTTGCTGCAAGGAGGCAAATTGTTGGGAGGCAGAGGCAGATTCTTTCTTATTGTTTTCCTCCCCCAAAGTTAGGTGCGTCTTATAGTCTGAAAAATACAGTAATCTATCAATAAGGTCCTGCTGAACTCTGAAATTAACTCCAAATCATTGCACAAGAAGGCTACACTTAACCTTTCATAAATGTTTCATGCATGACTTGCTGCAAAACATATCACTTTATGCAAAAATGATATAAAGCAAAATATTCTGTATATATGGCAAGAGTACAGAAACTTACCATGGCCATAAAAAACAATTATATTTATGTAGTCCCAATATAGTAGTTTTAGTGGTAAGTAAAATAGCAAAGGAATAAATGGATATAAAATCACTGAAATCCATCACTCTTACTGTATCAAGGCATTAAAAACAGTAAAGAATCTAGCAGTTTAATATATAATTAGTATTAATATTTAGTTCCAATAGTAAACCCATTATAAATATAGATTTTGAACTGAAAATTAATATACACTATTTTATAGGATGATACATAAATTTAAATAATTCCTAAATATATTTTCCAATTACAAATATTATCTTGATGCAGGGAGTATTTGTTATCTATATAGTGTATAGCTACAATTCTGGTAAAAATATTTAATTAATTGTGCAATTCTTTACACAATCACCAGAAGTTATATCTATGGAGCAAGTCTTTCATATTCTTCATTAACTCCTTAATCTTAACATTCCTACTTATGATTACCATACCTTCCATACTGAGTCATTATCCCAGGTGGAAAATAAGCTGTATAGCATCCTCCAGAATATTGCTCTTTACACCAGTTCTTCTCTTCATAGTGCACTGGCTATAAAATTGTCATTAACAAATAATAAAAGGAGACAAAAATAGATACTTTACAAAATAAATAGAACATTTTGAATTAACTAATTTCCCATGTCATTTCATTTCAAGGTGGCTGATTCAAAAGAATGTACTTTAATGAGTTGGGTGCATTTTCCTTGGTCTCTAATGGGCAATTCAGGCAGCCGTTCAAAGTAAGTGGAGCTTTCACCTAGGCATTTACAGGACTATTTTATTTTCAGTATTAAGATTTGGATATAAATAATGATGAATGTCAACTTGCTGAAACCAGAATGGACAAATCAAACTAGCTGCTTTGTCAAGAAAATTCCACCTTACACAGGAAATTCATTACTGAATATCCATCTGCTTCTCATACTTTAACTTTTTCTCACATGCCATTTTTAAAAATGTAATCATCTTTTTTTTAGAAAAGAAAAAAATGACTTCAGAACAGGTTCTACTGAAACTTAATTTTCTTCATATGAATATTCCCCACAAAACTATGTGAGGAAGCTGAATATTTATTCTATTATTAAAAACTTCATCTGCAAATCTTCTTATATTTTATATATATTGGATTTATATACTTCTTCATTTGCCTCTTTCCCCATTTCCAGATCTCTTGATGTATGTGAGTGGTTCAAGAATACCTATCAAAATTATCAACTGTTGTATTACTATTTTCATATTTTTGTAAGCTATTAATTTACAATGTTTAATTCTGAAGTGTATTAAATAATCTCTCACATTTTGAACTATAAAATAATATATGAACCTTCTTTGAATGTACACTTATCAGATTCCTCATTTACACAATTTACACAATTGGAGAAGACCCTAGAGATATTTTGACAGTAATAAATAATTACATTTGCCCTCACATTTGGCCTTTTGCTAACCTGGCCTATGACTGAAATCAATCATTATCTTGAAATTTAGCTTTAATTTGGCTTCTCCAATTGTAAACTCATATCTTAACATATCTGCTAAGGTTCATGAATTTTCAATGCTACTTAAAAAAAATCCTGATATATCAGAAATTAAGTTCTTACACGTAAGGCTTCTTGTGTTCCCAGCACCTTTGCATAGAGCTCACAGATTTGTGTTTTCCTGTGAAAGAAACATTAATGAGATATAACTTGCCTCTTTGAAATATCTTTTGTTTTTATTTTAACTCATCTTTTAAGATTTGCTAATGATTTGTGTTTGCAAGGATTAAGGCTATATTGTAGAAACTGCCTTCCACAGTCTTTTTTGTTGTTGTCAAAGCCAAGTCTCAGTAACCATATATATGTGTGTGTGTGTGTGTGTGTGTGTGTGTGTGTGTGTGTGTGTGTATGTGTATATATGTATATACACACACACACATACATACATACACATACTGTGTGTGTGTGTATGTGTGTATAAACAATGTCTGCAATTTGCATGTACTGTAGTTGTTAACTGGAATAGACATCAGAATTACAAACAGATCCTTGTATTTGCCTGGGACTTGGGATCATTGGCAAAAATCTTACAAATGACCATTCAAAGACAAAAGATGAGGCATATGTCTTTCCCTACCAACAGCTGACCAGTGGGAGTTTCTATGTTCAAAAAGGATTTGACTTGTGCATCATAGGCTGCCTTTTAGCAAGAGTCATGTGCTTTCTACAAAGTAGTTCCACATATGGCTCTTTTTCAACTGCTTGCTCAAAAGAAATATTTTGTATCAATGCATGAAAACTGTAATCCCTGTTTAGACAGATTTCCCAAATACTGTATGATTCTTGGGAGAGCAGGGTGGTCTAAACTATGCACATGACATGGTTGTATGGTGCTGTTAAATATTATCAATAAATCCCCAGTCAGATAATTAATTATGCATCAGACCAAATATTTTTACTCTAGATGAGACAAAATGATCCACAGTCTGGTTTTAACTGCTAATCTTTTGAAATCACATGGTACCATGTGTGTGAGAGGGGGAGGGAGGGAAGGAGAGGGAAAGAGGGAGGGAGATTAAACCTCTCTTTAACAATAAAAATAGATACATATAAAGAAGTAATATTGACACTGTAGGGAAAAAAAGAACTAATATTAAAATTATTGCTTTTTTCTTGTTTTCCGTGCCAAGCAAGAATTGAGAAAGATATGTTAATATGCTACTCTGTGAATAAATACCATGTAGAGATTTGAGGAGCTTGAAGCTATAAATGATTCTATCAAGAACAGAGATTCTCCTAAGGGTTTTACATAGCAGGTTGGTCATAGAGATGGGTCAGCCTCAATATAATCCATTGGAGAAGAAATTGGTGGTCCATTTCAATTTGTCAAGAAAACTCAATCAACATGTACAAGCAAGAGAAAATAGATAAGATACTAGAACAGGAGCACCTGAGGTCAGAAGATAGGTGCCAAACTACTGGACGAGAACAGATGACTGTGCTTGTAATGTAGCTGGATTAAAACAAAAACAACTTCTGCCTGTTGAATTGGCAAGAAAGAAATGGAAATTCTGATCTGCAAATGTATTTGTGTATTGATACATTGAATGTGAAAACCAAGAACCAAGGTTTGATGTTGTCAGAGCAGAAATCTATTCCTGGTGAAAGGTGGATTATGCAAGTTTGTAGCTCAATACTGAAAAAAGCACCATTATAGCAATAGGCAGTACAAATTGAAAAGTTGATAATAGCCTATTTGTCTAGGCTCAAAAAATTTTACTCCACCATCACAAAAGTAAATAGAGTAAAATGTACTACTCTAACATTAAAATAACTACCCCACAAAATATTTTTAAAAACCATATAAAGAGGGAGAAAAAAACAACATAAATACCTTTGAGTTTCAACGTCCACCTGTATAAAGTTATTTTCCCAGTATTCTGAAATGTCAGTAGGTGGGGAATGGTAAAGACCCTGAGGGTAAAATGTTTGAAATACCAAGTCTCCCATAGAGAAAACCTTAATGTGGAGATATGGTTTTTGCAACTTTGATTTTTTGTGAAGCTGTCCAGATAGAATCATGATCTCCAACAAGCTAGAAAGTAAGAAAGGAACCTCTCCTTGGCTTTCCAATGAATGAAAATGGATTTTTTTTTGGGGGGGGGGGATTCTCCCTCTTTTTTATTTCTAGAAATATAAACCATTAAGGGTTCATACCTTTCTTCCTTGGTGAGATTAATCAGTCTTCTACACTTTCGGGCAAGGATGAAACTGAAATTTAAAATAAAAATGGAAGAAATAAATATTATTTCTTCTACCATTTAATCATTTCAATGCAGGATCAATTTATGTCAGTTAAGTTTTAATTATTTCCTAAAACACATTTCTAAAATCTTCAGATTCCAATTAATAGCATATTTCCATATTGCAAAATATGAAGCAGTACTGGATTTTCAATCAATGCTTCCACATTTCTACAGAAGGGGATGTATTTTTTTCTCAATTAAAGGTGAAACCCATAAAAGCTGCACAAAGGCACTATATACAATTGCTAAATAAATATTGTCTGTTATTTGTAACCCACATATGGGTTACAACTTAGTTGGTGATTGTGCTGCAATTATTTTGATCTAGCCTTCTTATGATTTATTTTATTTTTTAATGGAAAACAGAAGAAAAAATAAGCTGTTTTATAAATTATTTAGTGCACATAGTAATATTCTTCATTTCTCTGCCACTTTAAATTAAGTTTGATGAAAAATAGTCTGCTTTCAACAGAGAATATTTCAATAAAATATTCATGGATGTGGAAATATTTGAATCTCTTTGATCAAAGGATGGAAATATCTGTCCTTAATGGCTATGAAAAATATCCAGATGCAAATAAGTGTAGATAAACCAGATTCACAAAAGGAATTTGATTTGAAAGTAGCAGATTTGGTGGAGACTGAAAGAAATATGGATCTTATAGATCTTGAACTAACTGAGTGGATTGCCCATGCTTCTTTGAAGGTTCAGCCTGCATTCATTTATAACAGCAGAAAACTGACTGAGTGGATAAGTGGTAAAGGTTTAGGTTTCCCCCAGTGGTTGGATTCAGCCAGTTCGCACCACTTCAGGAGAACTGGTTGTTAACTTTCTGAGCAGTTTGGTGAACTGGTTGTTGAACGAAATCTTTAGGACAGAGAACTGGTTGTTAAATTATTTGAATCCCACCACTGGTTTCCCCTAAGAGGTTAGAAGAAGATTGAGGAATGGAGCTATCATACTTAATTGGAAAACTATTTCATCTGGACTTTTTTGGGTAGATAGATTGTACACCTGGAGAATAGACTTATTATAGTTAAACAATTGATAAAAGATGGTATTAAGAAACAAACATGGATATTTGATCCAAGACAAATCAGTGTTAACTGTTAAGATAATTTGGGATAGATAAGAGCCATGGTGGCACAGTGGTTAGAATGCAGTATTGTAGGCTAACTCTGCTCACTGCCAGGAGTTTGATCATGACCGGCTGAAGGTTGAATCAGCCTTTCCTCCTTCTGTGGTCAGAAATTGAGGGCCCAGATTATTGGGAGCAATATGCTGACTCTGTAAACCATTCAATGCAATAAAGCACTATGGGGCAGTATATAAATCCTAGTGTTATTGCTATAAGAAACCATGGTAAACTTTATATGAGTTGATTACAGTAACAGTTAGTTAACAGCGGGTTTTGAAATTTTAATCTTGCCCTTGTTATTGTTCTACGTTTGTCATTAATATAATAAATAGATGACAGGTTAATAATACACAAATAGAATTAGTAGCTTAAAAATGTTGGGAGCCTTTTTCATAAAGGGTGGGGAACGAATATTGTAGCAATATATTTACAATATTCAATTAGGGGGAATAATATGTGTATATATGTTAGTGTCTCTTTTTAAGACACCCTTTTTAATGTCTTTTTTGTTTTGTGTTTTTTCCTTTTATTTATTTTTTCTTGTTTGTTCCTGTTAAAAAATTTGGAGTTTTATATTTTAAATTTTTTTAATAAAATAAAAAATAACAAAACTACTGAGAAATTGCAAGACAGCTTTCAGTAAGGATTAAATATATGAACATTTATGCATTCTGTTTCAATATTTCTGTGTAACAAACATATTTTTACTTAAACATATAAAAAGTAAAGCATATAAGATCAAGACAATAATTATCCCTATTTAAAATCTATGAGACTTCTTCCTCTAGACACATTTTACATCCTATTGTATATACTTTTATTGATGAATAGTCATGCACAAGTGTACAATATAATTACAATGGTTACTCAAGACAGTTAATTCTCTTTTAGAGCCTACTTTTCACCCTTCATCTCTGAAGCAATTCTTACCCAATTATGGCTGGAAAGCTTCCATCAGGTTTAGTATCATCTAATGCCAACCCAATTGGGGCACCCTCATCTTCAATAATCATGGAACCACAATAATCTGGGGGAGGGAAAGAAAGGTCCATCCAGGTATCAGTATTTCTACTAGGTTTAGTGAATATGATACTCCTTTAATAAAAGCTCCCAAGTGCTTTATTACAATTATCATTGTGACAATAAGTAACATTTGGCATATCTGCAATTCTTTTGCAACAAAACAAATTACTGTAAATAGCACTATGAACTGTTAAGATAATCAGGAGTCGCTGCCTCATAGTATGATCTCACAAAGAACTGTTTCTCCATCATCCTAAAATCTACTCATATGTGGATACTGTGAGTTGAGCTCAGAATCATATAGGTGGTATAAATGATTTAGTCTTAGAATTATGCAGTGATAAAAACACTGGAGGATTATAAGAATGGCTTCATCATCACTGATTTTCTAAACATTACATTTCTATTATGCAACTGTGTTTTTCCTCTACAGTGCATCACAAACATTGTCAAAGATAAGGGGTACAACACCATCTTTAAAATATTCATCAATCTCAAGTAGGTCTCATTGAAATAATTGAAAATAAAAAAGAAAATAAATGACATGTATTTGTATGCATGTGTGTTTGTATATATGTGTGTGGGTTTTTATTAGTATTTTATGTTATTGACTCTGGCTGAATGATTTTACTATACATGGTCTGTTTTCCTATTTTTCTGTTCCTTGCTTGTTTTAAACTATTACTTAATTATTATTACAAACCACTTTTGAAAATGGCAAAATATTTGTCATTTATTTCAAGATCTTGTTAAATTAAGAAGTGAAAGAACTAGACAATAGTACATTGCAGGACAACTCTATATGTGCCCTCTTGAGTTTTTATACCTATGTAGTACCACAAAGGTATACACAATATTATTTTCAATATATTTGCCCTAGGGATATATTTCAAAATTTTACACCAATGAAATATAGCATGAGATAAAGGCATGCTTTTGCACACACAAATCTCTTGGAGAACTTCATAAAAGTAGGAACTGATGCGCTAAGCTGTAAATGCATCATCTTTTTGCCCTGCCCATTCAATTAACATGAAATACCTTTTTTCTTCCAAAATGCATCCTTGTAGTATACTATACACTTGATGACTGACCCCATAGGAATCCGATTAATCATCTGATTTCTCATTGAAGGCAAAGGTGGGTTAAAATGAATCTTCAAGCTAAGCACTGGAGGGATGGCACTAATAACATATTGGGCCTTTAAAAGAAACGCAAACAAAATAGTTGTTACATCACACGGCCACACTTCTGTGGCATGGAAATCCCAGTTATAACAGATCAAGAAAACTGAGTCCCATAATAATACACATTTGGCATGATTGAATTGGAATCTTTGGCTTGTTAACAAGATCTTGTCTTATCTTGATCTCATCTGATTGCTTGATATGCCTACTCAATTCACAAATAGCAACTCAGGGTGGCTCACATACAGTTAAGAAACAAAAAATATCTATGTCAAACACAGAAATACACAGTACAGTACTGTATAGCATAGCTAAGGCTAACCCCACATATTCCAAATTCAAAGCCATTACAGATCAAGTTCATCCAACAATGACCTAAAGGAAGCACTACTTTAAGTCTTCAAAGTCATATGGAAGGTCCACACAATTAGGTCCAACCACATCTCATACATTATGTGTCAAGGTATTGATTTAAGAGCTGACCAGTTGCTGCAATGATGCAATGATGTAATGATATGAATGAGTGAGCAAGGTTTTTTGGCTTATATCCCTTTAAAAGCCTGTATAATAAGAAGATGCCCTGTTAGGGCATCTCTCTTACTGTGTGTTTTTCCCTGCTGCAATTACTGATTGTTTGACCTCTGCCTATAGTGCATGTGTGTATAGTATATATTATTTTGTAGATAAGACCACTATTTTATAACAAACCTCTATTTGTTGTTATTGCTCCTGGGTTGTCTCACATAGCAAAGCTATGCACACTCTGTCAGTATGCTGTTCCAAAGGGCAATTGCTGCAACAGTGAAGGCATCTTCCTAGGTCCTGCTAAGTGACATAAAAGAGCCCTGGTGGTGCAATGGTTAGAATGCAGAGTTGCAGGTAAACTCTGCTCACAGCCTGAAATTTGATCCGGATAGGGCTCAAAGTTGACTCAGACTTTATACATCTAGGTCAGTAAAATGAGGACCCAGATTGTTGGAGGCAATATGCAAATAATGCTTACACTGTAAGTTGCCCAGAGAATGCTATAAAGCACTATCAATTGGTATATAAGTCTAAATGCTATTGCTATAATTCTATAGAAAGAATCTGAAACAACCACCCTACAGAACATGTGGTATGGGCAAACTCCCATGGTTTCCACATACCATGAAACAATCTTCAATATATTATTTTTATGTTAATCACCATATTCTGCATGTCATACATTTTAATACAAATAAAGTATTTTTAATCATATTTGTTAGATTTAGCAAACATACACCTATTTATATTGAATTATAACCTTTCATTATTTATTTAATCAATAGTTTGATATTTTATGCCAGTCCCCATATTATTTAAGTATACTTAGTAATTCCATCATTCAAATTCTAATTTCCTCTCTTATTATTATTTATCCTTATTATATACAAATGTCTATTTTATTAATCCCCCCTCTCTAGTTTCCATCCTTTTTCTAACTTTAATTATGCCACTACTGTATTTAAACATATTCCCTTTTTAACCATCATCTCTTACCCACTTTAATACTTTAATTATTCATTTCTTAGCTTGCCTGCCATAATTCCTCTCTTATATCTTTATTCTTCTGGGGTTAAAATTTGAATAAAAAGAATTTTTTTCACCCAGTTCACCAAAGTCTGCACCTGCACTGTGCTTAGATGTTCATCTGCTTCCTCAGCTTCTTGGCAGCCATTTTAGACTGTCTCTTCTCCATGTCATGGCATAGAGGGGGAAAAGCCCTGGGGGTTCTGCAGGAGAGTTGCGATCTCCCCTGCAACCTCACAGAGCAGCCCTCCTTAGCTTTGCCACCCCTATAAGGTGACTTTGACTCCTTTTGGAGCTCACAAACAAGGAGAAGCCAGCACAGAAATGGAGAGCTCCATTCCATGTGACTGGTAATGCTGTGAAGCTCCACCCCTCTGGGTGTGGCCAGCTTGACACCTCTCACTGGGCATGGCTGACTGGGTGGGCATGGCCAACGTGATGCCACTCCCAACTGCTGACATGTTTCCTCTTTGTACTGGGTAGACCGGGCTGAAGCCACACCGGCCCAATGTTTCCTCTTTGCATTGGATAGACTGGGATGAAGCCATGCTGGCCCGATGTTTCCTGTTTGTATGCATGCCTGCTGGGATTGGGTAGACTGGGCTGAAGTGATGCGGGGTGGCCCCTTACATTTTCCAGGACAGCCCCGCAGGCCAGATCCAACCACATCATGGACCAGATCCATCCCGTGCATCTTGTGTTAGACACCCCTGCAAAAGATGATCTCACAAAACAGCTTCATGTAGATATTAAATAGTAATGGAGAGAGGGTAGAACCCCAAGGAACTCCACAAAACAGGAGACTAGGATAAGATCTCTTTCTCCTATGCTATCAACACCTATTGTAACTGGCTCTGATAGGAGGAGATTCATCACAATATCTCATCTCCCTAACCCTAACTCCCAGTCCAGAAGGATATCATGATCAATAATACTGAATGCTGCTGAGAGATCAAGTAGTCCTGTCAAAGATCATCAATAAGTGTGATCAATGCTATTTTGGTACTATATCTCAGTCTGAAACTGATAGTAAAGGTTCCAGATAATCTGTTTCCTTGAGGGAAGCCTGGGTGGGGTGGGTGGAGCTGCAAACTGATCACTTCTAAACAACCTTTCTAAAAAGAGAGACACTTGATAAATATTGTTCAGTATTGTTGGTGTTTAGCCCAAAGACGAAGCTAGACATTCTCGGGGAGGAGAGACAGTGATTGATAATGCCGGTGTTGAATTACATACCAGCAAAGAAGGCTGACTCCGGAGCGAGACTAGCAGCTACAGGAGAACTTCACAAAGCCTCCAGTGGCCATCTGCACACTGATGATGTCCCATCGGCTTGAAAGTACAGCCCAAAGCACTCCACATAGCTAAGAGGGGGAGGGAGTTGGGAGCACCAGATGGTGGCTTAGGGTTAGGGTGTGGATAGTGCTGGTAGGTGGAGGCTCCCAGTGCTGACTTTAAACTACTTCAAGTACTCGCTGTGTTCTAAGGCTCTGCCTTGTTACTGGATTTAAAAAAGCTTTTTGTTATTACCGAATCCTGGCTTTTTGTTCATCACACACAAGGCAGGCTTAGACCAGCCAAGAGTTGGATTCAGGGAGTGTCTCTTGAAAATGGGATGAGGCACTATCTATGGAGATTATCAATTATCCAGGTCATGGTTTGTGCCAAAGGTGTTTTTCCAAAAGGCAACTGGCTTTTCTTGTTTTTTTTCCTTGAAAACATTTTGCTTCTCATCCAAGAAGCTTCTTCTTGGATGAAAGAAGAAGCTTCCCCTTTCTGACTGAAAGATGGGGAATGGAAAGATGTATATTCTTTGCAGTCATCTTGTTGTATGAGCATTCAGAAGCATGCCTTCCTCATTTTCATTTTTATATTTGCCATTTTCCCAAGACAGATAAAAACCATGATTTATTCAAATTGATATGTTACTAACAAGTGTCTCAAGCCATAATTTCATGTTACTTTAGAAGGGTTCTTGTGTGGAACTATGATTTTTAAGTCCATAGTTTTATTGGTGCAAAGAAACTGGAGTTTATCAAAATAAGAAGCAAAAAACTTTAAGTTCTTATATTGGGACACTGCAGCTGTTTTTCCTCACAGTAACAATTTTTTTGTGATTGGAATGCACCCAATTAATAGCTTTGCTTTTATAGAATGTGTGTAACACTTTCATTTCTTCTTTTCCTCATAAGAACAAAAACAAGGGTGCAGATCTTAAAATTCAAATATTTAAATTACCTCATATCTTTCATGGTCCAATGTTTCTACTATGACGTTTCCACCAGTCTGATCAACATACGTTACAGGCTTCTCTAATTTAACTCGTTTCCCCAGATATTCCATAATTTTTTCACTAATTTGTCCAGAGCCTCCAATGAACTTCCTCTCCTGGGAATAGAAGAAAATGTAAATAAAATAAGATAAAATGTAGGGTTTCACATTCTTCACACACTTACAGTTGTGTAATAATTTTGAAAGTAGTAACATGAATCATTTGGAAAGCATATTGGCATTAAGTACCCATTCTTAAAGGATTGAGGCAGTCATCTCTTTCAAAAGGAAACTACTTTCTTCATCTATTTGATCATGTAGAGCAAAGCAAATTGGTACTACATGCACATGCATGCAGTGACAACAAGAAAGCTTTCCAAAGGAGTTTCCTCAACCGTTCAAAGAAGCATATTTTGTGTTTTCTGCCAATTTGGTGTAATGGAACTAGGCTAGAAACAGGAAACTCTGAGTTATAATTCTATCTTAGGCAAAAACTACCCAGGTGATCTTAGACTAGTCACTCTCTGAAAAAGAAAAGACAATGGCAAATCCACTTCGCAAAATATTGCCAAGAAAGCTTGTCTAGGCAGTCACCAAGAATCAAATCTGAATAAAAGCGCATGCACACACAAATGCAAATCCATTGCACAGCCATTCTCAGCAAGCTCAGGATAAAATTTTTAAATAAAAAGGTTTTCTCAACTGTGAAGAAACATCAAGAATTGAACTACAGATCTTTAGAATGCAACATATGTGCTCAATCTATATACCACAACTTTTCAATTACTCCCCAGGCTCAACAAATAAATTGATTTTTGAAATAATGGAAACTCAGTTAATTACTCATGGGGCACCATGAGAGAACTTTTGTGCAAGAGTTGCACAGATTGAGAAGTCATGAGGGTCCAATGCATAACAGTGCAAAGAAATTAACAGTATACTCCACCTGGCCTCCATTGGTTGTTGAAAATATTCTGGCTGTACCTCCACACTGTTTAACATACCACAGGAACCAGAGAGCAGAAACCTCATGCGGCTCAGAGGTAACATCAACATTCACAAACAGAGTACCAAACCTCTTGGCAGCACTACATTCAAAACCAACACAAATAAATAATATTAAATCAAATGAAATACACGTTGTGTTGTCTACTAGTAGACAAAAAATAGTGTGCCTTTAAATCATTTTCCTTGGTTGAAGGAAATCACTACTGTTTATCTTACAACCAACAGATTGATTTATTTTTATCACTGCTTTTTTATTTAAAAATTCCTTTAATAAAACTAAAGTAAACAAAACTTATGAATACAAACTTTTAGAATAGAAAAAAACCACAGAAAACAATAAAAAACACTAATATATATGAGTCCCAGTCTCCATTTTTCCTCTCAGCTGTTTATTTATTAATAAAGTGGCGTCTTGGCTTTTTACTGCACATTTTGAAGTTTTTTTTTCTTTTAGTTTGATTCTTATTTTTAAAAATTAATTGACTGGTTGAAGGCTCATTTAGTCTAACCCCTTCCTGAATTTTAATGTTAACTTTCTTTCATTGCTTTACTATTTTTGTGTTGGCTCTGAACTACTTTTGCTTTTCCTATTGGCAACTTTCTGAGTAGTAAAACTGACCAAATCTATACTGCATATCACTAAAGAATTTAACTCTTAAAATGTTCTGGTCTGGATTTTTTGTTTTTTACTTTTTGATGGAACTTTTCCTGTTTTTTCCTTCACTTCTGCATTGTGAGAAATATCATTTCAATGTTCTCTACAACCATTTTGCTACAGTTCATTTATCCTTTTTGTCTTTGAAAGGAAGTGTTTTGTTTGTTTGTATAAGTTCAGGTACAAAAGAGTCTGCTTTATATTTAAAATGCAAATAATGCACCAGTTTAAGGTTAAAACCTGGTAGGCTATCTTTGCAGAATTTTTTTTTTTAATCTAGTTAAAATTGAAAACTGGTAAAAAGCTTGATGAAATTACCTGGGTTATGAGAGACACATGACATGGATTTTGTAATTTGCTAACTAACATAGTTACTTTGTGTATAAAGTTAGTGCCCATCCCTCTCCTAGAAGAATGAAATACTTTGAGGAATATTAAAAAAGACAGGCTAAAATATTTTCCCTAAGAGAGAAATAAAAAATCTTAAGGGAGACAAAAACTCAGCCCCAGCTCCCTCCCCCCAGCAGATATTTTTTGCCCATTAAGAGAGACTGGGCCATCCTATCTATGAAACAAAAAAACCTTCAGCTCCAGGATGATGGGATTAAGACATGACCTTCCATGACATAATAGGATTAATCCACTAGCAGCAAAGGTCACCACAATGCACAATCTCCTAACAACACTGTATCACCCAGCAAACTTCAGCCAATAAAACACATGTTCTTATACAGGAACAGGAAGTTCAAGTTCAAAGCCAAGAGTGTTCAGCTGCACCAGAGAATCATGTGCTTGGTAGTTCTGCTTCATCATTAAACCATCTTTCCAATCAGCCTCCAGTGTCTTTCTCCCAGCTTGGAACTGAACCAGGTGAATATTTCTTCCAACATTTGCATTTTAATTTGATTTATTTTCTCTCTTTTAAAAAGATGTTCAGATTTCTTGGCTTTTAATATTACTAAACTGATAAACAAGTTGGAGAATAACTCCAGCTAAGAAAAGGTTTGTTAGTATAAATTGGGGTCTGGTTTATCTATTTGTAAGCTCCAAACCTTTTTCCTTACAATTTATCCCCCTTCTGATGTCAGACCTCATTTTAATAACGTGTGTAATATTATAAGATGCAAATATGTAACATGTTTCATTACATATAACTGATTTCCTATGCAAAGGGGAGCTTACTTTATCCTGTCCAATCAACTTTCCTCTTGCATTTTCTTTCTTATGTTAACTATAAAAAGGAGTGAAATATGGCGCTTGAGGTTCTCTCTCCTTTTTCATAGAAAGATCACACTTTATCAGGGTACCCTAATAAACTGCTTTTAAATGATATTCTGACTTGGTTGCTTATTGGGAAGTTAAACCAAGGCTAAGGTGACCAGACGTCCCGCTTTTGGCGGGACACCCCTGCCTTTTGATGCATATTCCCGTGTCCTGCCCGCTTTTTAAAAAGGCACGCTTTTTTTGGCGCTGGCAGCTCCCGCCCATCAGCTGCTGGGCTGGCTCATCGTTTCGTTCTATGCTACCTACAAATTTAAGCCAGCCCAG